ATTCTATTATCCTCCTTTTGATTCATCGTAATACTAAAACACCCTATCTAAAGAACTTTAGTCTAAAGTTAACTAATTAGTTTAATTTCAAAAAGTATCTCCCTTTCAATGTAATTGCAAAAAAAGTAAATGTTTAAAATTATATTGCGAATGCTTTGCTAATAATTGGGTTATCATTCATTTTATTCTATAGGTTTGCTCTTAAAGCTGTAATTGTACTGAATGTAAAAATAGAATTGATAATCCAAATGAAAGATCTAAAGCTATAGAAGAAGCCTTACTTAGAAATCCTGAAGCCTTTTCTGCAATTTTAACTAATAATGGATAATAACCATAAATAATTCCAGGTATCTAATCACATTTCTACAAGAACCCAAATCATAAAAAGAATAAAGTAAGGAAACTAAAAAAGGCTGTAATTGCAAGAAATCCGAATGCAAAAAGAAATATTGTGAATGTTATAGTATTAATTAAAAGTGCACTGATTTATGCAAATGTGAAAACTGTTTAAACAAAGAGGAACCATTAAATAAAATCTAATATTAAAAATAAGAGAACAATCCTCCATAAATGCAATAATAGTTATAAAAATAAGAAGTCTTATAAAAAAAGGATTAAAAGTCTAAAAAAATAAAAAAGGAAGAAGTTTAAATTAAAAACAATACTAAAAATAAAAAAAAGTAAAGAAAGAATTGATAATTATATTTATGTGTATATTAAATGTATGATATTTAAATTTCAAATTGATTCTTCCATATCAAATTAGCTATATTTCTTTGAAATATCAATTGATGATTCATTTGTCTTTTTGAATTTGCTTTTTAAAACTATACCAATTTTTTTCAATTGCTTAATAATGGAATCTAATACAATAAAATATCAAATACTTTTTTTATAATATTCATCATTCTTTGGAATTTATTATTACTATTAATTTTATTGCTCAATTCTAAGATTAATAATCAATTCCCCTAATTTTTAAATTACCTTTTTTGTAAAAAGATAACGAGAAATTAATGCCAAAAATATTAACAGAATAATGAATTTGCCATTTTCAATACTATAAAATTCCAATAAAAGTATATATATATACATTATTATTTCCCATTGAATTATTTTTTTCATTGTTTTAACCCAATATTGGACTAAAATAATAAATTAAACTTACATTATAAATAGATATATAAACAAGATCACTTGAATTTATTTCATAACTTTAATTATAATAATTGTATTTCTACATCATCATTAATATTAATTACAATATATATAATAAATAATTTTGTTAATCCTAACTGAATAATAAGAATTTGCAAGTTTTATTTCAATTTTTAACTACTTAAAAGTTTTCAAATTATGTTATTTATATTATCATTGTCAATAGAAAATGATTTTATGAATAAAAAATACTTACAACAATGATTTTAAGTTGTTTTTGTTTGATTAATAGATAACATTAAATTTAATGAATAATTTATAATTGACTCAAGAAGAAGATCAATATTTTAGACAACTTTGGAGCACTCTTGATCCTTAAGTAAATAAAAGAAATAACTCTTTAGGGTATTGGAAGCACTAATGCCAAAGACACAATTTAATTTTTCAAAAGAAGTCAATTACCATCTGATAAACTAAAAGCTATTTGGTTGATGGCTGTTTCAAATAATGAAAACAAATTATATCTTTAGGAATTTCTAATCATTATGAAATTGATAGCGTATTGTCAAAACGGATTTGAATTGAATCCTTCACTATTAATGGAAAATTAATACGTTCGTTTACCAGTGATAGATGGATTACTACTTCCTTAATAGCCATCTCCATCTCTGGGAGCTTATCAATAAATTCCCATGGCTCAAATGTATCAAACAGCTCCTGTTCTAAATTAACAATAATATAAACCACCTTCTGATATTACAAATCAATTTGATATTAGTAATGAACTTTATGATAAATACAGTTTACATTATTAATAATAAGATAAAAAGAATTAAGGGTATATTGAGGGGGAAGCTGCAAAAGCAATCTTTTATAAATCTGAATTATCTAATGAAATATTAAAAGAATTATGGGCACTAGTTGATACAAATTAAAAAGGATTTCTATTTAAAAATGAATATATTGTAGCCATTCATTTAATTGCTTTATGTAGAAAAAATATTCCATTACCTCAATATTTACCTGATTCTCTTTAAAGATTAATTGCCTAAAGCTAACCTCAATAATCAATTATAATTAAAGATATCAAAGTATAATATGATACTCCATAAATCTCACAATCAAATAATTGTAGAGTATAATCAGGTTAATAAGTTTAGTATTAATAGAATAATGAATTACAGACATTAACTATGCAATAATAATAGCTTTAAAATCAATTAAATTAATTAGTTATGTAATTTTAAAATAATTCTAATAATAATGCTTAAAAACAATTGATTTAATAGAAAGAGAATGATATAGAATTTTTAATTTAATAAATGAATAAATTATAATTAATTTTTAATAGCTTGAAATAATAAGAATAAGAACTACAAACAGAAATACAAAAATTATAAACTAAACCTTAAATTTAAAAACCAACTACTCAATAACATTAATAGATTAATTATTCATAATCAATGTATTAAGCATAACAATAAATTCCATAGTATAATGAGATCCTAAATATACCTCATAATTAAAATATTAGCAGCACTAACTACCCCTCTTTATCAATTGATAATCTAAATCATTAAGGTATTTATTAGTTAAAAGATGGATATGAAAATTATTAAAATTAGAATACTGGAAATTAGGACATACCATGGTGAATAAAAATATAATATATGCATTTCACATCTATAAACATTCAAAATGGGTTTATCATAAAATAAAAGTAGTTCTCTTGTTTTATTCTGAAATCATTTCTTCTGCCCTTAATGTACCAACTATTGTTTCAAGTTAATATGCATCAAATTTGCTATAGTAGGTAATAATCTAAGTTTTATTACCTAAATTTTCAATTCCTTAAATCAATTATTTATAAATAATTGAATGTTGAGGTAATTAATAAAAAATAATATTTTTCATTGATCTCAATTATATTATTTCAAAAAAGTATGCCCTTTCTGTTATCATAATATATTAAATTCTACCATCTTTAAATTTACTAATAATACTTTGAACTTTATTCTTTTTTGTATATTCACTTACACATTCACAATTACTATTAATTCTTTTAAAATGTCCCTTTATAGCAACAAAATCAAAATAAGATTAAACAAATATTAAAGTTTTCTTAAACTAAGAACTTTTATTATTTTCAATATCATTCCAAAGTTTTTTAAATTGATTGAATCTTTATTCTATTTATTATTCAGTATTAGAACAATCAATTTATCTAAATTCTTATTAAAAATTGACAGACTTTTAAAACAATTAATTATAATAAATTTTATTACTTATACATCCCTTATAATTAGAGAAGTATTATTTTCTTAGAAAATTTAATTCTTAAAAGTAATGATCAGTATAAACTATATTTTATCTATAAAACTTAGTTAAATTCTCAAAACAATAAGGTCTAATAGTACTCAAATCACTAGTTATGTTTTTATGATTAGGTAATAAATTAGTTGCATTTAAGATATCCTCCAAATAACTCCAATTCTACATATACATAGATGAAGCTCTATCAATTACTAATATTTCAATAGAAGATAGAAAATGAGTTTCTCTATTTTTTTAATCCTCTGTACCAATAATTAATCTCATCCCTAAAGTAGAAGTGACAATAATATCTGATTTATCAAAATTAGCATGCAATTTTATATATCCTTATCTAGAAAATTGAATACCAATTCTAAAATCATCTTCTTCAAGTCTTTCTTCATCACAAAATTCATTCTCATATCTTTCTTTATTAACAACTTCTTTATCAGTTTAAATTAATTAATTTATTATTGAAATTGCATCTCCTTTAAAGGCTGTTAATATTAAAACTTTGCATCTAGTAAATCCATATGATTCTTTTTCCTTATCTAAATGATTTGATATGTGTGTAATATAAGTCTTTCTAAATTTTTCAGCATTTTATTCATCAGGATCTGTTTCAATATAATCAAAATAACTATATATTAGATTAGACTATAATAATTCTTTTTCTTCTTCTGAGTCTTTAACTACAGGTAATATAAATTTATCATCTTTAATTAATTATCTTTAAGATAAAGTTTCAATATTATAATCTTCATTTTTGCAATTCAAATCAATTAATGTTTTGTTTTTTAATTATTTATTTAACTCATATTTTTTAAACTCTATTCCATTATTAAGAGTATTTATTAATTTAGTTGTTTTTTCTTTAAAAAAAGCATTTAATTATTCAGGTTGTTCTATTTCAATATCACCTATACAAATAGTTTTTCTTAATTCTTGATAATCATATTCAAAATGTGAAAATGGATTGAGATTAGGTACTTTAACTACTTCATATTTTTTCATTTTTGCATAAACAGACTTATTTTCTTATTTTATATTTAATCTAGCAGATTCTGAACAACCATAATTATCATCTGCTTATTATTATTTTATATTAAGTTTTTTGAGTAGATTTTAATAATGGGAAGGTTTTTCATTAGTATTTTTAAAATCAACCACATGTTCAAAAATTTAATCATCTTCATTTTGTTATTCTGAAATTTCTTCATCATCAGTTATTTCTTCTACTTATTCTTATTTCTTGATTGATTATGGTTTTTTTTTCCTAATTTATTTAACAATTGGATCACTTTCTTGATTTCTTAGTTTTTTATTTTTTTTGCCCATATAATGTACACAAATAAATAAAATTAAAATTAAAGTTATTCTTATAAAAACTTAATTTTATGATTATCTAATTTAGATAATGATGATTATTTACATCTATTAATAATGAAAAATAGGAAGTCCAATAAGTTATTTGAAATGTTGTATTTATTCAATTTTTTTAGTTTATTTATTTTAAAATTTAAATTCAAATGGAACATTAAAATTATTGTACAACTGAAAATGGAGTTAGAGTTTGTAATGTTAGTTCTACATTACCTAATTGTGCAGCTGAAAATATTCTAATTTAAGAAAGGAAAGTAATAATAAAATATTAATTTTATAGGCATTATGGATGTCTTTAGCAGGATTGCCTCAATACATTACATTAGATTTATCTCAAGTTTAAGAAAGACCTAAATTTATTAAATGTTTTGGTTTTGATTGTTGGCATGATTATTAAAGTAATCCATCAGTGATTGAATTGATGGTATCATTAAATGGAGAAAATTTCATTACTTGGACAACTCTATATCCTGAATTGAAATAAGGAATATAATTATTTTAAATTGATCCTTTAGGAACTAGATATCAATTTATTAAGATCATTATAAAGGAGACTTTTGGTGCTTCTAAAACTTATTTAAATTAAGTATATTTACTTGAAGAATATGCTATGATTAGTACAGAGAGCGTAACAGAATCTTAGCAATAGACTGAGAATAATCATAGTTAATATAAACATTAATTTGAAAAAGAGGAACTTGAACATCATGAGAGATCTGATAGAATGGATAGATTTGAAAGAATGGAAAGAATAGATAGAAATGAAAGAAATGATAGAAATGATAGAAATGAAAGACAAGATATTAAAATAAATGAATATCATGATTTAGCATAAAAGATTCATAGTATGGGAAGAGAAGTTGCTAGTTTAAAATAGAGTCATTAATAAGGAAAATCAAGTTAATCATAAACTAAACAAGGATTCCATAAAAGCAATATTACAGAAGATGTTCCAGATTCTTTTTAAAGATTAACATCAACAGAAAGAATGGTATTAGATATATAAAGCAAAAATTTGAGTGAAATTAATATATTAAAAAAAGAAGTTTAAGAATGGAAAGATAAATGTGAATAATTAGAGAGTCAAGTTTAAAGATTATTTAAATTGGTTACTTAAATTAAAGATAAATAATAAGAATAAGAGGATTCAATACATAAATATATATAATAGAATTAAAGTGAAGTTAGTTTTGATGCCAATAAAAGATAAGTATATAATAATGGTTAAATAACTCAATAATAAACCTAACAATCTTAATAAGTAACATCTACACCATAACCTTAATAATAATAATAATAATAATAATAACAATAAATGAGCAAATTTGAAGAAGTAATTGATAAGAAAATAAGTGAACTATCAGGTAACTTTTAAATTTTATTTTAATAATAAGAATCAAAATTTAAAAATTAATAAAAAGATTTGATTAAAAGCTTCAAGGATTATATTCAATATGATTAACAATAAGAAAAGTATAGAGATTATGAAAAAAAGAAACCAGTTTCTAGGGGAAGATAAAAAGAGAAATCTGTATCAAAATCTTCATCAATTAAATCATCACATAGTTCTTCAAGTAGTTCAATCATAAATTTCATTAAATCAAAAAAGGTTTAATCCAAATCAAGATAACAATCTAAATCACGTTTAAAATCATTACCAAGATCTAGATCTCCTGTTGATTCAAAAGAAAATGATAGGTACGAAAATAATAGATTATCACCAAAACAAAGAAAAGTGGCATCATTATTAGGTAAATTGTAATAAAAGTTATAAAAAAGAGTAAATTTATATAATTTATTAATTAGGCTAAAAAAATAGAATAGTTAAATTTATCTTAAAGAAAGACAAAAAAGAGAGGTAGTATACAGAATTAAATGGATTAATCTAATTCATCTGATTATTGATATAATTAATTTTATGCTTTATAAATTATTATTATTTTCATAGTCCTAATTCCTTAAAGTTTGGATTTGGTCTAGAATATTCATTAGTTAAGAAATATCTATATTTAAATATATAATTATATACTCTGGGAAATACTTTTTAGCCAAACCATAAGATGCATTCATTCTTACACACAACTAAAAGTAGTTTCTGGCATCTAAACATTCTGGTACATAAGAATCCTCGAAAAGACCAAATTAATTCTTGCAATGTTGGGCCATTCTGTCATATAGATGACAAGCTAATAATTAATTTGCCATTAATATTTAATAATTTGATTACTTTGTACTCAACAAATTCAAATTTAAGATTGTCCAAAAGTTTAACATGATTCTTTGTTAAAGTTTAGAGATTAATCATATTTCTGAACATGAAATCTACAGAATAGATCTAATTTTACCTTCCTCCTCCCAAACTTCATTATAAATTGGCATTAATATTAATACTTAAATTATATATATAAATAAATAAAAATATCTAATAAACCAACAAATAATGAAGCAATAATATGAAAAAAATAAATAATTTATATATAATTTTCAAATTTATGGTGCATCTTATATCATTTCCAATAATTAAATTTTTTCATAAACATCAGTCTAAATTTCAGTAGTTTCCTTAGAGATAATCAAATCTAACCTCTTAAATCTGATTTTCCTTATACAACTTATTAAAATTCCATCAGTAATCACTATTAGAATGAAACTAATAATATAAAATATCAATCTAATTGTTTATATTTAATTGATACCCAGCCTCTTTTGGTTATTTTTCTTCATCCTCTTAATAATATAAATTATAGTCTAAATAATTAATAGAGGCAAATATTATAATAGATCCACTTATTTCAAATATTAAACCTATGACCATTATAACTTAGTAATATAAAAAGGTCCTTTTTGAACATATACTTATACTAATTCCAATAGTAAAAATGACAAACCTTGATTATTAGAAATTAATTACGAGATAATAAACATGATACCAGCTGTCCTCTCTGCTCTTCCTCCATATTAAAATTCAGCATAGCATCTAATAAATGTAAAGGTAGATAATTAACATAACAATAGAAAATTGAAAGCAAAAAAACTATTTTGCATAAGAATCTATACAGCCTTTTAAATGATCTTAAATCCATTTTTTTTTAATCAATAGGGTGCAATGGTTGATCTGTTTTATAAAGACTTGCATTATTAAGTTATTAAGGGTATTAAGCATATTAAGCATATGCTGAAAAAGGAATTATTTGTTGAGATTAGGGATTATTTTGATACCTAATAATAGTTCAAATAACAAATAATACTATTATCCTTCTGAATGCTATCCTTTAACTGGCTAATATTAATTTTCTTGTTATATTTATTATTAGCCACCTTAAAACGTAATAGTTTTCTCTCTTTTTTATTGCTACATCTGAGATTATTAGATTAAATTAAATTTATATTCTAAATTTAATTTTACTTAATACAAACTCTAATTTATTGAAGAATAGAATATCTTAATGAAATTTTTTTAATTCTAATATTGTAAGGGATTTATGTAGAATGACAAAATAAATTATCATTCCAATTATTTATTACATCATTTATTATGGTTTCTAAATTATCTCTATTTAATTGATAATGTATTGCAATTATTTAAAAATATTTTTGAAAATAATTATTTATATGTGTGATAAAAGGAAAAGGTTTAACTCTGCTTTGACTTTTGAAGAATTTGTTGATTATCATAATCAATTACCAGAAACTCCTTAACTTAAGTAATACTCAACATTAATATTTAGACCAATTAAGCAGTCCACTTTCTATATACCAGATTTAGATTTAGCCAATGATGTCTGTTAAAATTAGTTAAATATTCCTTTATAAACAATTTTGGAAGAAGAACTCACAAGTCCAAAAGAAATAATGAAAACAAAAAAGTCAATTAGAAAAAGATAAAGGTTCTTCAGTGAAAATTCTCAATACTCAGTAATTAATATATTGGAGAGAAAACTATAGAAAAAGAAATCTTTCATCCCTACTCCTTAGAATTATGATTCACTCTCTCAACCAATCATGATTTGATATTTATATTAATATTAATAATAATATAGAGTTAGATTTCATTTCTATTTCTTCTAAAAAATGTCATGATTTAACTTTGATGGATTAAATGCATTTTTTAATAATCCCATTCTGTCAGAGAGACTATCTAATAAGAATTCATCCTCAAAAACACCAATGCATTCTCTTTTAGGTAATTAACCAGGAGATTAAGTAAAAATGTCTGACTTTTCTAAAATAGTTGGAAGAGTAAAGTCCTTAAAACTTTTTTATTTGAATAATTTCTCTTAAACTTTCATTTTAATAAACCATTCATGATTCATTGCTACATTAGGTTTAATTCTTTATTTAGGTTCAACTTATAGCATTTATTTTAATAAATCAATGGCATAAGAAGTATTTCTGACTTGAGGAAATTCAATTTAGCCTGATTTATTATCGTTCTAAGCCTTATAATAATCAATACATGTTCTTACGATTCACTAAATGGCATCACTTAATATATAAAGTAATAAAAAATTATTCCAACTGCATAAATATCAATACTTTAATCATAAGGCTTTCCATTCAATAACTCAGGTGATTAGTAACTAAGAATCTAAATTTCAATTAAATTTACCCCTCACTTCCTTTTATTGCTTTTACTTAACTATCAATAAATTCAGATTAAGTAAAATTGGCTAAACAGATATCCACTAAATTATCAGATTTAACATAAATATTCTCTAATTTTATATCTCCATGAATAATTCCCAAAGAATGAATGCAAGATAAAATTTCTAATAATTTATAAATAATCCTAGCATATTAAGGTTCTTGACTATTTAATATATCTTCAAATCTATATACCATTTCAGTACCAAAATAATTCTCAAAAATCAAAAATATTGTATATTAATCTTCATATACTTCTACTAAATTGATGATATTTTTATGTTTTATTCTTCTTAAGATATTAATTTCCTATTGTATTAATTTAGGATCGAATTTGTTATTTTTTTGTATTACTTTTACAGTATAATTTGTATTATTTGAAAAACATCTTGCCTAATAAATTTGTGTCTATGGATCTTGATATCCTAATCTCTTATTCAATTTGTAGTCTTTACTAAAATTTAATTGAATAGTTAATCTTTTTAACATATTAAACCAATTTTCTAAATCAGCACTTCTATTGAAAAATATCTCTGTACTATTTTTCCCTTATACTAATTTTATTGTTTGAATATTTTTTCTTATTATTGTTTAGCTCAAATTACAAAACAATTAGTGAATTTGCAATCTTAATAAATTCTAACTATCTACCTATCAGCATATAAAGAAACTTATTCCTCATGTAATTGTTGATCCTCACTTCTAATCCAAATAATTCCAGAATAAATGAGATTTTGACTCAAATGCATCAATTATAATTTTTCCAAAGGTTACCATAGAATAGGATTAAGATGTGCAGTTTATTACTTTTTTTATTGTAGCATTGTGTATTTAACTAGTTTTTATTATTTTTGTAAGAGTATTAATAATGAAATTTTAGTTTTCAATAAATCAATATATTAAAAGATATTATTAAATATACAAACGAATCAAAATCTAAAACCATCCTTTACTCTTACATATGAAATAATACAGGAGCTATTTATTATAAGGTTTATTCAGCAATTTTTAAATTTATAGATTCAAAACTAATAAAACCATCTTCATCATTATCAAGTTATCTAAAGATATTTTTAATTAATTAAAAATCTTATTTATATTTTATTTTTGGTTGATCATCATCAAAGATCTTTTTTCTGTTATTTGTTAATTAATAGTCATTTTGTTTAGATTATATGTTAAATTTGGCTGCAAGTATTTGTTTTATTTTTTAAGATGTTTTTTCATATCGATAATTTGGAGAAATGTTTGATTTCCTTTTCTATTAATTATCATAAAGGATTCCATTAATATTTTATTATTCTACTAAATTTTTTTAATTGATAGTTTCAGTATATAATTATTATCTATCTTCAATTTACATTATTTATTATTTATCAACATTATTTAAAGTAAAGTTTCTATTAAAAACATGATGATTATTTTGCTATAAACATATCATTTTTTGGTTGATCATTTCTAAAAACTTTATTTTTTAACAATTTACAATATTTATTGTCTTTATTAGATTATTATTTATCTTGGTATTCAGCTTAAAGTATGATATCTAATGTAGATTTATTAACTGAATTTAAATTTTTTTTAATTTCTGAAATTATGAATTGTTATCCTACTTCTGTAATTTGGTTTAATTCACAAAATGCAGCTACAAGTAATTCTATATCATCATCTTCAAATATATGTAGAAAATTGGGAACATCATAAGTTTATAATGTTACTACTGCTAATAAATTTGATGTCATTATTATATATATGATTTTATTTATATATATATTTTTATCAATCAAATTAAATCCTTTCAGTCTTATCCTATATATATTCTGGAGTATTTAATATTCATTACAAAACTATATCATTGATATTAATTCCTTTGTGTTATTTTTGTAACGAATTTTCATTTTATTTAATTATACAATCATTTGATATTGTATTAAAAATAAGTTTAAATGGATTTATTAAGTTGGAATCCATAATAATTTATATTACGCATTCCTAATAAATGTAGTTTTTTCTTGAAGAAAGTAGTTTTTATTACATATATTTATAGTACATTCCATAAAAAGGTTCTCTCAACAGACAATAGAGATGTTCATCCTTGATTGTCGTATGGTAACCATGAATTATTATTGGAGAAATAATATTTATTAGACTGCTGTAGTTGGGAGAATAAGAAGGATTAGTTAATTTTTTATATTTTATATTATCTGATTATATTCACATCATCAGATCAAAATTGCAAAATTGGGAACTGAGTGAAGAGAACTTAAAAGATAAGGTTTATAAACTTACTTCACTTTTAAATGATTTAATGAGCCAATAAAGTCTTAAATCTTAATAATGGTTTTGGATCGTTAAAATCAATTTTCTCAGTAATCAAAGTAAAACGATTGGAATTAGAACTATTAGTTTTTGAAACTTTAATTGTTATAGGTGTTTCTATGTTCATAACTGAAATTGGGTAAATATTAAATTATTAATAATTCTCAAAAACTCTGAGATATTTCGCTCGTTTATTTTATCATTCAGAGTACTAATTAAAATGATTATTGTGTAGATTGATTTCATCAATAATATCAATTAATAAACATTTAATACATACAATTTTGAATAATCAGATAATTCCATCAATATTGAACATTTGTATTGAATAATTAAAAATATGTTCCATCTCAACCCTAATTACGCTGAGTTAAAGAGAGTCTTTTTAATTTCATACAATAATAATGAAGTTTTAAAACATGACATACATGAAAATTAATATTATAAAAATAGATAGTGAAGGATCTTAACTCAACAAATATTAGGTTTTCCATTTTTAGATATCATTGTAAAATGAGAATGGTTTAGTTAATATTAATTATATAAAAACGAAAAAGAGATTATTTATAGTTCTTTAGATTGCAACAATCATTTCTATAATAATTTACTCCTTGAGATCTAGAAATTATAAGAAAATAAATAAGATCACCAATTCAGAATAATGATTTTTATAATGATTTAAGAGGTTAGAAAATGAACAATTAAGCTTAATTACATAAATCATTATCTTGCTAAATAAATCTATGTCTTTAAGATTGAAAGCATCAAAATGGTTGAAATTGTAAATATAGATTATTATTATGAATCCTACAATAATTTATAGTGAGGTTTATATAGATTCTAATAATTTATTCCCTAAAAGAGATACTGTATTTCCTATTCAAAAAGAATGATTAAAGTGAATATGATTAACATCAAAGTTATTATAAAAATATTAATTTTTGTTTCATATTCAAAGTTTTATCATAATAGAAAATATATTTATAATATATATTCTACTTTCATCTATTAGTTTATATACATTACATAAGAATAAACTATAAACTATACATTATTTACTAACTCTTATGATATTTATCAAAACAGTATTTTGAAATTCAAAATCAATGTTATAATGACATTATTTTTTAATAGAACTTTATTGTAATTTAATACAATTCATATTGAAACTATTAACACGCGTGAATTTAATAAATAAAATCTATAATTATTTAGGAACAAAATGGTACTTATATATTCTAGATATTTAGCCATCTGCTTAAACCATGAAATTGAGAAGCTAAAATTATTAAGGAAATGTACATAAATAAGGAAAAGTTCCTAAATCATTAATTGTAATGAAATAAAATATTGTCATTAGAAAAAAGAAGAAAATCTTCCTGTTGGCCCAATTCTTTTAGGTGTATTCTTATTTGTTGTGGTTGGATCAGGTATATTATAAAATTAAGATTTATAGCTTTATTCTAAATACTTAATGTAGCCTCAAGTGGATAAGAAATTTGATATAAATATATATATGCTTGATCAATTTTTAATTTAAAAGATGCAAAAACTACAATCTAATGCAGTAATTACTATTTTTCCATTGTTTTCATTAATTTTCATAGTTTTTGCTCTCATTTTCATCAACTTTTCCCATTTATCAAATCCTTTATTTGTTATCCATATATCTAATAATATAATAATAGAATACTTCCATTTTCACAACCCAAAATTATCATTTCATCAATAATATATGAATTCCATGGATTTAATTTTTCTTCTGGAAATTTAATTTTTTTAGTTTATCTAAAATTTTAGAGATTCCAAAAAGTAATTTCTATACCAAAACCAATTATTTCATTATCAATTATATTCATAGCATATTAAGGTTCTTTAGTATTAATTTATTTGATAGGTTCACTTTTATCATATTTCCAAATAAAAATATAATTATTTCTTTATGATTTTTTATTCTTATCCCACCAAAGACTAGTACAAAATTATTATTTATCATTGACAATACATAATGGTCCATATGTTTTAGCTTGGATTTCATATTTAATGAGTTATCCATTATCTAATTTCCATCTATTAATATAATTAATAGGACTTAATTAATTAAAATTATTAGATGCAAATACAGAATTAGATTATTTACAATAATATAATTTACTAGGTGTACTTTATGATTCTTGAAATTCAAGTATATTAGCTACAAATTTTCCATTTACAAAATCAAATAATTTTAAATTTCTAACATAAGCTAAAACAATTTAAGTTTGGTTTATAACAATAGAATCATAAACTCCATTTTTTATTTCAAGTATTTATTAATGAATATATTTTTTAATAGGATCATAAATAATAAAAGGATGAAATTCTCCAGCTGCTATACCTATAAATTTATCATTTAACCAAGTGATACTATATAATCTTTTAAACTTAAAATTTGTTGGTATTTCAAAATTCTGTGTTAATTCTATGTTTTTGCTATTAATATCTATTAATGGTAATTATTGAATTAATGATTCATCTTTTTTAGAAAATAATATTCTTAACTTCTCAAATTTGTTTTTTGATTTTTAATCTTAAATTTCAAGAGTTTCAGATTAATTTGGTTGAAATTGTTCCTGACATTTTTAAACCATATTATATACATTACAAACTTCATTTAATTTTTCTTTAATCATTTATATATGATTTCTAGTTATATAAAAGTCTAATAATTGAGCAAAATATTTATCATCTTTATTTTATAAAATTTCAATCATGCTATTAATTTACTTTTTTGGTGATTCTTAAATTAATCTTTCATAAATGGAACCTAATTATTAAGTAAAAGTAGTAATCGCATTAGGTAATTAATCATATAAAATTTAAGAAAACTTTGTTAAGAGTGGAAGTGTCTTAGATATAAAATCTGATAATTCAACTTTTTAAACAAATTTGTGAGACTCAATACAATCAATGTCATAACATAAGTCACACACTTCTTTAATGTCAGATCTCTCAAGAAGATAACCCACTTTTTAATGGGTGCAATTTTTTATCATAAATATTATAATAGTATTATTTTCAATTAGCGCCCAAAATATGTTATAGTATATGAGTATTCGTTCTTTTTTTAACTAATCCCAATTGTTGATAATTGAATGAACTGAAGAAATAGAACTTATACAAAATCATTATAGTAATCTGTACTACTGCAACAAGTCCTACAATCATATATTTCTTTTCTTTAGGTAAATATTTTAATTCTTAATTGAAATTTGAAGTCAAAAATGAAGTTTGAGCAAACAATACATAAACTAATAACATCCATTATATTGCCTTTTAAAATATTAAATAAATGATTTACAGGATTAGGAATTGAATTGAGTAATGAAATTGGAATCATAACAACAGCTGAATATCCATAAATAGTGAAACAATGTAATAGAGTGAGACGATCTTATGATACACATTTAAGAGCCACTCTATATATCATAGGTACAATTAATGTTTTGAGATACATAAATATAGCAAGAAAGGGAACGATTTCAAATTAATATTCAAAATGTTCACCTGGTTTCAATTACATGTATTTAATGATATTGACAGATAATGCTATAGTAAAAATTAACGTATTTAAAATCCAGAATGGTCCATACAATTCTGGTATTCCTCCACCAATATCAAAAAATGTTCCAGAAAAAGGATTAAATGCATTAACAACTTTAGCTATAACTAATTCAGTTGTGACATCAAAATATTCACGATAATATCTGAGTATATTTATAAATAGATTACTCAATAGTAAATAAGTTGCAGAATTTCTAATAACAAGTTTATTCATCAGGATCTTCCATTTTCATTTGTCTTATTCTATTTTGAACTTGAGAATCTGTCATTTGAAGGGATGGTTATAAAATTGAGACATCTTAATTTAAGTTATCTAACATATATAAATATAATTTAATTTATTAAGTTAATTGTAGTGTATTATAAATTTTATTCATTCGAAACTAAAGAATATAAATGATTAAATTTATTTTTATTAAAAGTTCAGATGTATTATCCATATGCAATAGAAGAATCTGATGAGAATATTTCATAAATAGTTTCTAATTAAGATTTAGAATTAGATGAAGATGAAGATTTTATACAAGATTCTTATTAATCTCCTGAGCGTACAATATCATCTAATTCTGACAATGATTTTAAAGAAGAATAGTTCGTTGATCAAAGCAGAATAATAAATTTATCAGAAGTCAAAGTATTTTTAGATGAAGTTATTTGTCCAATATGTTGTCATATAATTATTGATCCAAAGATTTGCTCAGAATGTGATCAAACATTTTGTGGTAAATGCATTTTAAGATGGTATTTTAATATTGATTAATATTTGAGGTTTCAAAAAAGTCCAAATCATTAATGTCCATGTTGTAGAAAGGATTTAAATAAAAAGAATGGATATTATAATAATTAAAGTATTATGGATGATAAAGTACCAAAAGTAATGCTCAAATTATTAAGTAAATTGATGTTAACTTGCAGATATCGTGTATTTATTTTTTTAAATATATTTAGTAAGATGGATGTGAAGAAATTATATCTTATGATTTTCGTGAAAAACATGAGAATCAATATTGTTAATATTAAGAATAATGTTGTGATAATGTAGGTTGTTATGAAACAATGTTACGTAAAGATTTTGAAGATCATTAATTGGAATGTAGATATGGTATAGTTTAATGTAAATATTGTTAAGAGGATAAACTTAGAATGGATATAGAATTACATGTATAAATTTTTATCTAATTTAGTTATAATAATGTGATTGTAGACCTATATTATGTGAATGGTGTTAAGAAAAGTATTAATATATTGAAATTGATGAACATCGTGATTTATGTGAATTTAAGAATATTCTTTGTGAATATTGTAATAAGTAATACAAAAAATATGATATGAAAACTCATACACCCATTTTTTGTTTGACTCAATTAAATAAACAAAAAGATCAAATTATTTTAGAATTGAAAAAAGAAAATTAGTAATTAAAGTAAAATAAACCTATGGAATAGTCTGATCTAAATTAATCAACCAATGAAATATTGAGTGAAAAATATAAATAAGATTTTGAAGAAGAAGTTGAAGAAGTTATTGAAGAAAATATTCAAATTGAAGATAGTGATTAAGAACAATCATAATAATATGATAATAATGTACAAGATATAAGCATTTAAGATTAAAAATCTCAAACTCTATCTGATGATGAAAATTAAGATAAATAATCTAATACAAATGAGAAACTTGATATTGAAGAAATACCATCAATTTAAGAAATCAAAATGAGAGGCATGTATACTTCATTCTTAGAAAAGTTAACTGATATCAAATTTAAAGATCTTTGGGATTATTCTGAAGATGAATTTAATTAAGTAATTGATTTGCTTAAATGAAATGCATATATATATTATTATTATATATATATATATATTAAATGATGATTTCAACATATGATGCCAGTAAATGCTTATAAGCATCCTACTCCTTTTTAACATTGATCATCACTTCTGCAACATACATAAGTATTTGTTTTTATTTCACAATATGAACCTCCTTTCACTTCACAATCATTGCAGTTTTCTTTTCCTAAAAATGTATGAATTTTAGCTTATGATTCTTATCCCACTAAATTTGGTTCTGCTAACACTAACGATATTAAGAACAAGGCAATAATGACTTTCATTATATAAGTCGTTTTTCTAATTATTAAAATAATATTAAGTTTGCATAGAAATCTAATATTATTTCTACACTATTTCATTATAATACTAATATTCCTTTAAATTGATATAAATATGTAACTTAATTTATATTGTGTTATTTCAAACTCACAAATTTCCTAACTCTTCTTTATTCATTGTTATTTATTACATTTTTATCAAACAACATGATAAATAACAAGAATTAATGAAGTTTAACAAATCATCTATATTTTTATGTGATTTTCATCATATTATCTTATTAAATCTAATCAAAAGATGAAACATAAAATATCAAATAAATATGATATCAGATTAATTACGATAAGTTCTATCCAATAATACTCCAAACATTATAGGTCCATAACTCTCTCGAAAAACTGTTCTTTTAAAAAAAAAGAATAAGAAATTATGCAACAATACTCTTAATCAACTACCACAAAAGAGTAATTAAGATGTCTCATCAAAATGTGATAAATCATAAAAAACAGATAAAACTGAGACAATTACAATCAAGTCTAATAGTAATATTGGCTCTTAAACCTCGAATTCTATCCCTTGTATTTCTTAGGATGTATTTGATGGCATTGAAATTCCTCATACTGATCCAATATGGTTAGAAATCATCCCTTAAGAATTATTGTTAGAAACAACAGTTGAAAAATTATTAGAAGACAACAAAGATTACTTTTATAACTTATTAGGATTATACCTATAAGAAAGAGCTATTGGAGATTTGAATATGTCACGCTTTGTTTTACCTTAAAAGTTTTAAACCTAATATTCGAAAGATTTCACTTTAAAATCTGCAGATCGAAAAATAGGAATTGACTCTAGAATATATGAAGATTATAAATAATACAGTTCACAAAATTAAAATACAACTACTTACAAATAGTATTTTTAGAAACCAATTTCAAATGATATTATCTAATCATTCAAGCCTACTCCAGAACGTAGTGTTCTAGCTTTGGCTGCATTAACCACATATAAAGTGTTATTTAATTTTTTAATCTTTAGGCTAATCACATTAACTTTAAATAACCTGAAATACCAGAAATTATGAAAGCACCAAACAATTCCACAACAGGTAAATTGTAATTAAATGGAAATTCAAATTATAATTTAGATTATAAATGGCATCAAAACTATGAAAGATTACCTAATTTTAAAAATAGTTATTCTAAATTGTAAAATTAATAAATTTATCATAGAAATCCTATTTCTAATTCTGATATCTTCTTTACTAAATAGAGAGCATCAATAGATTATTATCCATTAAGTCCATAACTTAAAGCAACCTAAGTTCTTACAACTCCATCCTTTTAGGGTTAATTTATGACTACATTTAAACAGTATTTAATACAATATTATTTTATAGTGATTTTTAATAAATTGATAAAGAATTAATGAATCCAAAAATGAGAAATTGGAGATTAAATATGGTTAATAAAATTAATTCAGTTAGGGAAAGATAAATTTAATAGTGAAAAAGTATAGATTTATTTTAAGTTTAACTCATATATATAATAATATATTGATTAAACTATTATGTATATATATGGGGAAATATATATGTAAATTATACTTAATTCTAAATTAATTTAATTATTTTCTTTGTAAGTTATTGTAAAATTTTATAAAAATATTTTAATATTAATATGAGTTATTTAGCTTAATCAAGTCGATTAACTGCTTTACTTATAAGTTTGAAAAATAAAAAATTAATAACACATGATCAATATACTCGTCTATGTGATTATGCAATTAATGATAATGCTGAATTGAAATAACTATTTATAGATTATGAAAAGGGTTTGTCATAAAATGATTTTTTATCTGGTGTTTAAATCATACTCAACAATAGAAATGGATGCGAACATATTATTAAATCATACTTGTACTCTTATTTTCAATAAAAATTAGTGAATCTGTTGTTAGCATCAACTCATAATTGAAAGGGAAAATAAAAGAATTTTATAGAGACATCAAGGTATTTCAAATTTCATTATATAGAATAACATGAATGAAATTTATGAAGAATGTTTTAAAGCATAACATCATTTATAGGAAATTAAAGATTTAATAAAATTAGTTTTAAAACAATTTTATGTGGAAGAATTTTATTTGATTTAATTTGAAGAAGGACATTAATGTGTTATTCTTACAAATAATTTTGATTTTAGATTCTTTAAAGAAGAATATAAAATTAGTTCTTGGGCACATAAATAAAATGCTCATCAATTAAATAATACTTAAACTGAACATTATGCTTTACTGAAAACTCACAATCTCCCAAAGTAATATATCATCTCATAGCATGCTGTACTCTTTTTAACTTTTAGTGATAATGTTAATAAAACATATTCATAATATTTTATGGCTACATTTCTATATGATAAATTCATCACATTAATCTATTAAGGATATTAAATTGTTGGATTAAAGAAGATGTAATCTATTAGAACTGAAATTCTATAATTAGTCTCTAAAACTATTTTATTGTATAATTATAAATTAATGTTTCAAATATTAGTATAGATCATGCAATAGTTTAATTTATCAAATTTATTGTGTCAATTTGAAAAAGAATTAACCAAATAATAAACTGTTTCTAATTATTTATTAATATTACTTTCAAGTAATCTAGATATAATTGGAATTGAATTAGAAGGCAATCTATCACTTTAATTAATAGATAAAGTTAAAAGTACTTTTAAAAAGTCAATCAAAAAATATAAGAAAAAATTAAAATCTAAAAAAGATCTATTAGAATCATTCTAGTAAGTTACATAACATAATGAAATGATTTTGTGTTTATTTTTTAATCATTTCCTTAATCTTTATTATATGACAGTTCAATGGAACCATGATCAATTTGTGTATATAATATTATTAATATAGTTCCAAATATAATTTACCTAAAGAAGTTAATTATGGAGATCCCATTTATAAAATATTTGATTAGAATCCTACTATTATTTAAAAAGTAAAAGAAATTATTGACTCTCCTAATGATCATTTAGAATTTAATGATGGTTTTTATAAGTTCTCAATTAAAATAGAAAGAGGATTTAAATAATAAATAAAATAAATATCCGTATTTTTATTTAATATTTAAGTAAAAAGGTAAATAAATTATTTATATACATAGACCTCTAGCTGAATTATTTAGAATATTTAGAAGTAAAGTAAAGATCTTACTAACAATAAGAAAGGCTACATTAGCATTTAAATCTAAACAACTTATGATGGAAAATCAATTCCTTAGACAATCAGCCTTAGTAATGTATCTTCCAGACTAAGACAGGAGAAGAATTACATAAACTAATAATCAAGATCATGATTAGGATTTAGAGAAATATAGAAATTATACAATGAAATAAGCAACAAAAAAATTATAATAATTTTTGAATAAATAGGATGAAGAAGATTAAAAAAATCCAGAACTTAGAAGAATTGCAATAGATCCAAATTTATAGTAAAAATTATTAGATTATGAATTTAATCTACTCAATAAGAAAATGTATAAAAATAAATTCATTATTGCATATAATCTATTTCATATGTGTGAGTATACAAAATAATATCCTTTACTAACAAAAGAATTTATTAATTTTATGACAATACTTAAACATAAATACAATAAAAAATCAAATCCATTTCATAATTTTACACATGGAGTTAATGTTATGCATGGTTGTTATTTATTTGGTCATCATTAAAAGTTTGGTTCATATTTTACAGATTTATAAAGATATGCTATGACATTTGCTGGATTATGTCATGATGTAGATCATTCTGGAACAACTAATTTATTTTAAGTTAATGCTTAAACTAAATTAGCATTATTATATAATGATAAGTCAGTACTTGAAAATCATCATGTTGCAGTAACTTATAAAATATTAGCTCATAAATAATGTGATTTTTTTGGTTCAATACCTAAATAAGATAGAATAACAATAAGAAAATATGTTGTAAACAATATTTTAGCTACTGATAATTAATATCATTTTAATTTATTAAATGATATTGAAATTAGATTTGGATAATCTAAAGGAGATCCAAAGATTTTTGGTATATTTATTAATTAATAATTAAATTAGAAACTGAAGAGAATAAACTATTATTAAGTGGGTTCTTAACACATGCATCAGATTTTTTTGGTGCAGCAAAATAATAGCCAGTAGCAAGAGCATGGAGTGAAAGATTAAGAAAGGAATTTTAAGCTTAAGTAATATATTGAATTTTCATTTAATTTAGTCTTAATTAGAGGATATAATTGGTATTGCTTAAACACCATATCTACGTAATTTAGACAATGAAGTTTAATATGCAAAAAATGAAGCAGGGTTTCTAAAAGTTATTGTTAAACCAATTTATGAATCTTTAAACAATTATTCTGATGGAGCTTTGGCATTATAATTAATGAATATCAACTTAAGTATTAAAAAATATGAAGAGATTATTGAATCAGCAAATTAATGATGATAATTGTATTTAATTATATCAACATTCAGTATATGTATTTTTTTATCAATTTAATTCACTATCTGATAAATCTGAATCATTTCCTGAAAATGCTTCTAATTTCTTATTCACTTCTTCCATTAAATCAATACTTTTATTAAAAGAATTACGACATTCTTCTATTGATACTTTCTTAGTAGATTTATTTTAACTAATGACACTCTCTGAACATGAACAACTCACTAAATCTAAGTTATTATCTAACTAAATATGAGATTTCAGTACTTTTATCTTATTCATTCATAGCTGCTTGTTCCTTTTGTTCCTCAATCAATTTTTCATTTCTAGACTAAAAACATCCCATTTCAAAAAATTAATTATAACAAATATCATAATAAAGAAAATACAAATATCTATCTTTTTTTAATTATCGATAGTTCTACTAATATACATATAAAATAAAGATTTCATAAATAAAACAACGATTTAACTAAGTAAATGGAAATAAATTCAATAATTTTTAGAATATTATAAACCATATGAAAAAGAAATCCATAATTTTACAAAATTATAATACTAATCAAAAGAATAAATTAATAAAAAAAAACATAAATAAAACACCTAGAAATATATATTACATTATGGCATGATCAATAAGTTTGTGTTAATATTTTACTAGAAAAATAAATTATTTCATATAGATCAGTTTAATACATTTCAATATGTTAAAGAAAAAGTATTTCTAAGAATTATAATACAGTTTCGAATGTTATTTAAATACTTTTATCTTAAATTTATAGTAATATCTTTAATTTAAATGACTTTGCATTTTGTACTTGGAATTAGAGATAGTACATTTTAAATTATAAGTTCATATTTCTTAATACCATCAGTAATTGAAACCTTTTAAAAATGCTATGTTTTTATTAAACTTAAAATTATTTACACATAAAAAAGATGGACATAACAGATAAACCTTTATATCCCTTAAAATTACTCAAGTTTTATATTTTGCTTTAGTTTTAATAATTACTTATAGTTATAGAAAAGGATGATTAAATTGATTAGTTCACTGTAAATAAAAAGAAATTGAGAGATAAATTATAAACGCATCAGTAGAAATTAAAATTGTTTAAAATTTTTCAGATGCTTATAATTTGAGGTCTAGTTATGACTTATTCAAAAAAAATATCAATAAACCCAGATTTAGAAACTCAATATTTTCAAACAAATATTAATTTCTTAGCATATGATAGTTTATATAACAGTTAATAAAACAATTTAATTAGAAAAAGGAAGCAAAAGATTATATACTAACATATATTTAAATTCTATTTATATCGCAATTTTTTGTAGCTTTCAAATCAAGAACAACTAATTATAATTATTCATCTACATTATTATGTTTGAAATTGGAAAAAAAAACCATAAATAATATACAGAAAAATAAAAGAACACTTAAAATTATCTTTCAGTTCTATACGAAAGTCATTTAGTTTTAGTAGATAGCTTAATATTATAAGTTTTTCGATTATGACTTCTTTTATATAAGCTTTAGGCATAATATATTCACTTCTAAAAGTCATACTCTATCCTAACTTACTGATATCTACTAATTGATATGAGCAATAATATACTTAAAAAGTTAAAAGTAAATCTTGCAAGATAAAAACACACATGATACTAATTATTTCATATGGACATGTTAAATATTGTAATGATTATGCTTAATTAATGAAAGAATGTTATTATTGTGATAAGAAATAAGATTGCCAATGAATAATTCAAATCAAAGTATACAATCAAAATTTGAATAAATTTGAATAAAAGGTATTTTTAAAAGTGGAGTTAGTGGATTATACAAATTTTTAAGTGTTGCCAAAATTCGTTAATTTAGAATTGTAGTAATAAAGCTTAATGTCCAAACTTTAAATATACAATAATGGAACATTATTAAAATACTATATGAATGTGTTTGATTTTTTAGTTTTATGTACTTAATTTATATATACATATTGATCTGGTTGCTCTCTTTGTTAATATTAAATTGTGAAAAACATAATTTTAAATCTAATTTAAAAAATCCAAAGATTTTTATGAAGGTAACATATACAAAATATACTTTGTTTAGTTCAATATTTCCTATCCCTTAACTGGTGCTTAAAAGACAGTCGAAATTGATGATGACAAGAAATGGTAATAATTTCTATGGAATTCCTTAGCTCAATCTTCTTTGACAAGAGAATGGGACAAGTAGTAGAAGCAGACAACTTGGGTGATGAATATAAAGGATATGTGTTTAAGATTACAGGTGGTAACGACAAACAAGGTTTCCCAATGAGACAAGGTGTCCTCTTTAAGGGAAGAGTTAGAATTCTCATGAGAAAGGGACACAAAGGTTATAGACCTAGAAAAGATGGAGAAATGAAAAGAAAATCAATTAGAGGATGCATTGTCGGTTAAGATATTAGAGTCCTTGCCTTATAAGTTGTTAAAAAAGGTGCCAATGAAATTGCTGGACTTACAGATCAAAATGTCCCAAGAAGATTAGGTCCAAAGAGATTGACTAAATTAAGAAGATTATTTGGATTCAAAAAAACAGATGGTGTTGCCATTGTTTAAAAAAATCTCATTAGAAGAACATGGACAACTAAAGATGGAAAGAAGAGATAAAAGGCTCCAAAAATATAAAGACTTGTTACTGAATCAAGATTGAGAAGAAAGACAATTCAAAAGAAGACAGAATAAGCTAGAAGAACCAAAGCTAAATAAGCTTTGGAAGCATATAAAAAATTAGCTCATGATGTTCACGAAGCTCACAAGAAACACAGAAAAGCATCATCTGAAATCAAAGAAAAGGTAAAAGAATAACCAAAGGTAATCATAAATACTATTTTTAGGCTAAGGATACAAAGGCTACCACAAAACCAGCATAAGTTGGTAAATAAGCTACTCAAACTAAAGCTTAAGCTCCAGTCAAAGCTGTTGCTCCAGCAAAAACAACTGCTCCAGCTAAGGCAGCCCCATAAACAACTTAAAAAGCTCCAACCACCAGCAAAGCAAAGAAATGAAAATGATATTATAAATAAAGTACATTACATAAAAAGAATTTATAATTCAATAAAATATCAATTAGAGATAATATCTTGTAAATAATATTAGATATATTTGATTAGATTTAAATGTATCAATAATTATTTAAAATAAATTAGTAAATCTCTATCTATAATTTCTTTATAAATAAATGGACTAATTAATATAATTATTGATAATAATTTTGAGAAACAAAACCTAATTTTAAGTTTTAATGTTTATTTAATTTTGAAATGAAATATAAATAATATGAAGCTATAATATATTTGAAATGAATTCTATGAATTTATTTATCTTATTAATTATAAATAATTAGATTATTAGTATTTCTTAATCTTTAATTGAATTATTTATATTTATATTATTTATTGGTTCTAAAATATTTAGAATTATAGTAAATTTTAGATTTATGAAGTGAATGATAATATAAAAATTCAAATTTGTTTTATTAATAACTTATACAGTATTTATATTTTTCAAAAATTGGATTAAAATAGATATGCAATCTCTTTTTGTTAAATGTTAGAAATGTCAATAAAGACCTGCAACGATCAAATGTAATTAATGTAGATATGGGTAAACATTTCGATTATGTTACTCATGTGATTCCCAAATTCACAATAGATCTGGTCCAATAGATTAGTAACATAAAACAGAAATTATACCTTATTAGGGTATAATACCTTAATTCACAATTTAGAAATGTATTAGAAAAACTAAAGTTTTGTTCCTGTTCCTTAGAAAAATGATTAGAGAAATTCATTAAAAAAAAATGAAATGAAACCCACAGGTTAGGTGCCAACTAAAGATTATTTGAGCAATGATTCTAAAAAATAAGATTACTCTAAAACATTTGATGTAAATAGAGTAAACAATAAACATGATTATTTGGAGAGAAAGATAGATAGTAATGATAAAAGAGTTGAATAGTAATATATATCAGGTAATAAAAGGCCCTATTCATCAAACTAGAAACTCAATCTTGATCAAGATAGAGGATCTCAATCAATTATTAATTAATTAAAAGAAGAACAATAATAAACAGAAAGATTAAGAGCTGAGCTGTCATTAGCAAAAGATAAAGAGAAAGAATTCTAAAGAAAATTGTAATATCTTAATATATAAATATTTATTTAGATAAAAAGTTGAATAAGATTATGAATAAAGATCAAAAGATGATAAATAGAAAATTGTATAATTGACAGATGAGAATAGAAATTTGAATAATAAAATTAGTTAAGCTAGCAAACATTTATAAGATGAAGTTAATAAAGTTAAGAAACAATATTCAGATTAAATCAAATAGTTGGAGTAGGCATTACAAGAGAAAACATAAGAATTAGAAAATATTGCTGAAGATTATAATTTAGTATTTAATCTTTTCAGTTCATTAGGAAGAAATTCAATCAATGATAGAATAACTTTAATAAGAATCATCAATGAAAGATCAAATTATAGAATAATTGCAATCATAATTGTAAGACAACTAAGAAGCTTATCATGAATTATAAGATAAATTGGCAACCAATTCAAAGCAAAAACAATAATCATCAAATAAGAAGTCATCTAAGAGCTAAGATAATGAAAAGGATGAAGTCATATAAGAGTTGGGTTAATAATTAGAAGCTAAAGATGAAGAAATTCACAAATTGGAAGGTTATCAATTATTATAAATATATAGATTTAATTGAAAATTTCAAACAACTCTATCAACATATGAGTGATGAAAAATAATAATTATAAGAAGAAGTTGATAAATTAGCTAATGAAAATAATCAATTCAGGGAAATTTTTAGTGTATCTTTTATCATAATTTATAGCAAAATCTACATCTATTTGGAATTGATCCTGAATAATTAAATGAAGAAGGAGAAGAGGGAGAAAATGAATATCCAGAAGAAATTGCTGAAGAGAATGATGAGCAAAATGATTGATTTTTATAAAATAAATAAATAGAATTTGATAAATTCAATCTCTAAAGTTTAATTAAACATTTTTTGAATTTTATCTAGTTTAATTCAAATAATATCATCAATTTATGATACATAATTTGTTAAAAATTATATAAGAATGAAATTATTAATTTTGTAAAAAAGCTTATTTATCAATAGATCTAACTAAATTTTGATTTTTTAATTTAAGATAATGTATATTAAAAGCACTCTATTTTAGAAGTTATTTCACAATTTTTAATTTAATTTATACTATTTACTAAAAATAAATATTTAAAATCAACTTACTCTATTAAAATTAATCTATTTTATATGTATTAAACTTATAAAATTCTAATAATTTATTTTAAAAATTAAGAATATTTTCGAATTTCCTATTGAATTTATAGTTTAAGTATGATAATTTTCTTGAATACTGTATCTATATTTATAAATATGTAACATATAATTATATTTCTAAGGAGAGAGTTCTTCAAATTGTAATTAGATATTTTATCCTAACATTTGTACTTTAATTAAATTAATTAGACAATAGAAAGAATTTAATAAAAATAAATATATCATTATTAAGACATTTTGCAAAAATTTCTATCAACTATTTAGTCTCATATCATAAATTCAATTAAATTTTACCAATTAGTATTGTTTATTAAAATATTTCTATTTCATTTATGTAATAATTTATAATCCTGTTTCTTTTTTTCATTAATTTATTTCTGTTTTGATATTAATGGTTGAAATTTAAATATTATTATTTTTATAAGAATATCAGATTACATAGAAAAGATAATCAAAAACTGAAGTTGAAAGTATATTTCCACCTAAAAATTGACAAATTTATAATAACCTCTATTCTCATCTGAGCTGATTTATTTAATCATATTGGGTTGTCTATTTTATAATCAATAAGAGGAAAAAATAGAAATATTTATTTTTGTGAACATGCTATACATCATCTTTAAATAAATTAAGAAATTTCTTGAAAGAATTTATAAGTGCATATCACTTGAACTATATTTAAGATTCTGAGATTAGAGTGACAAAACATATTGATTATTTGGTATTACATTTAATAAAATATAAGAATATATTCCATCTGATAGTTTAAGATAGTTAAATTCATTTTTGATAAGAATAAAACCTTCAATTTTATTAGAATCAGTCTTTTTAATAGTCTATTTGAATATTTGAGTTTTATGTTTTCTGTTGATTTTTATAATTATGCGTTTTTATTATTAAAATATTTGATCAACATGAGCATAATGTTTGATAAGCTATTTAGGCAATTCTCTTAATTTTATGAGAGCTTTAATCCCTCTTATTTTATAATTGCAGTAGTTGCTTTTTCTTAGGGTGTATAACACTTAGCTGATTTATCAATTAATTATATGCTTAAGGATGATTTTGGATTATCACCAGCTATGATGGGACTTTATTTAAGTTACACAACAACTCCTTGGATAGTAAAACCATTTTGGGGTTTAATAACAGATTCTAAGCCTTTATTTGGTTATAGAAGAAAATCATACATAATATTATTTGGGATATTTGATGCATTAGGATGGATTGCTTTATCTAAATATGGAACTGATAGTTTATATTCTGCCCTTTTATTATTGTTTTTGATTTAATTGTCAACATGTTTTGTGAATGTTGTTGGAGAAGCTATTCTAGTAGAAGTTGCTTCTTAAGCTTCAAGATAATAAACAAATTTTTAACATGGAGCATCAAAGAATGTCTCAATATTCTTTGGAGTTCGAGCATTTGGAACACTAATAAGTGCATTCTTTTCAGGATAATTATTACATTATTTCACAAAATAAGAAATATTTATGATGACAGCAGCATTTCCTTCATTATTGGTTTTAGTATCATTTTTCTATGTTGAAGAGAAGGTTGATCCTAGAAATTTGGATTAAAATGACAGAAGAAACAACACTATGTAATGTATCAAAGACTTTTGGACATTTTTCTAAAACCCATTAATTTACAAGTATTATAATAATAGATTCAAGGCCAGTTGCATTGATATTTTGTTTTATGATGGCCCCTTCAAGTTCAACTATCATGTTCTTTTTCTATACCCAAGTTTTAGGTTTTGAACCTTCTTTTCTTGGATAATTGAAGTTTGTTTATGCATTGTCTACCATTTTAGGAGTGCTTCTTTATAATAACTATCTCAAAGATGTTCCATTCAAAAAAATATTTATTACTACTACCATCCTTTATTATTTTTGTTATTAATCTATGATAATACTTGTCACAAGAAAAAATGTTGAATGGGGTATAAATGATAAATTCTTTTGTCTTGGAGATTCAGTTATGTTATAATTAGTAGGTGAATTGAATTTGATGCCTATATTAGTCTTAGCATGTAGAATGTGTCCAAAAAATATTGAAGCTACTATGTATGCTATGTTAATGAGTACAATTAATTTTGGTAATCAATATATATTAAATTTTTATAGGATCAACATTAGGATCATAATGGGGAGCCTTATTTTTAATTATGTTGGGAGTTAATTAAAATGATTATTCAAAATTATGGCTATTTATTATTGTAACAGGAGTATTTATTTTAATGCCACTACCTTGGGTAGGAGTTGTTTAGGAAGATAAGATTTTGTAATCAAGAGATTAATAGTTGGCTGAACTTAAAAAGAAAGATTGTGAATCAGACACTGTATCTACAAGTAACTTAAGATAAGAAGATGATTAACAATAATTACTTTCAGAAAATGAACAATAAAAGTCATGAAATTTATAGAATAAAAATATTTATTATTATTATTTTTCATATTTTTAATTATTAACTGATGAAAACTATAATTGCAATTCTATTTCATCTTATATTATATTTTTAAATAGTTTCTTAACTTTTTTATTTATTATTGAAATTAATTTTATTTTAATGAAAGTACATTTTATAGAATTCTAGATAATCTATTTTTTAATATTAATAATAATGAAAAATAAAACGTTTGTAAATACTTTTAAATTTTACTTTATTAATTAGGATATATTAATTTATGTCTTTAGATATGTGTAATTAAAATTATAAGAACAATATTATATGTATATAATTATTTTATATTTTATATATAAATGATAAAAATTCATAATTAGATTGTTTCCTTATTTTACAAATTCCCTTAAGTTGTATAATATTTTAAGGGATATAAATAAATTAAAAGTAAAAATATTAATTTAATATATTATTACAAGTGTAGCTTGTTAGTTTATTAGATTAAGTTAATAAAATACAAAATATCAAAATCTAATATATATATTGTATAGATTATAGTACTAAATGTTATATTATTTATTATATTTAGTTGTTTTATAAAATGAAGAAATCATATAATTAATCAATTTAAATTAGTTCAAATAATTTATATCAAAAATTCATTATTTGAAATAATTTTATGTATTCAAGGTTTAAAACTTTTTATATTTATAAATCATTCTTAATCAGTTTCTTATGTTATGATTAGGCAATTCTGAGGTGATGTAAGAACTTTCTCAGTATTACCCTCTGTATGTCTAAAATTCTTTAATTATAAATTAATACATTTATTTATTTGCTATTTTAGACAGCAAAAGCGTTGTATTTCTTTATGTTTTTCTAGTTAGCATTAAAGATGATTGAGGAGCTCCTGGATCAAGACTTAATTGATGTTTGAAGAGATGATTATCACTTTCTCGTGTTAAGAAGTTAAGACTTGACATTCTTTTGAATTAAGATTTTCTTTCATTTATTTACAGATTGAGATTTTCATACTGCAATTTTTCCATTTTATTACGTTCCTCTTGTAAAATTTTAAAATCATTAAAATCTCTATTAAATTTTATATCTTGAGTTTTAACAACAGAGAACCTTTTCTATACTTTGGTCAATATCCCTCTCATTGAAGACATTTTTTCAAATTCTTATTTTCTCTTTCTTTCTTCTCTTATTCCAATAATTTCATCAAGCAATGCTTTTCTTTATGACTAATTTTCAAGAAATCTCAAGGACTAAGATACTTGATGTGGATCAAATGGATTTTAAAGCATATCAATGGCTTTTGAGACCATTTGCTTATTTCTTTTAAGCTTCTGCAATTGAAGTTTTTATGAAAAATTGTGATTAGTAGAAGATGTTTGAGTTAAAGAATGTTTTATCATATTATAAATTAATGATTAATTAAAATTCATTAACTTCATATTTTTATCTTGTTTGCTAAATATATAGAAAATATCTAAATATTTTATATTGATTCTAATCTAATAACAATCGTTTTAAATGATATATATATATATATAATTTTGTTTATGCAACAATAATTAATTAATTAATAAGCATTTAACGACATTATTAAAATAATAAAATGTCTCAACAACTATCTATGTAAAAATCAGCCACTTAATCAACTCTTCGAACTCTTACAGATTATGGAGGATAATAAAGATTAGTCAATTATGCAAATTTATAAAGGAATCTTTCTCCTCAAGCTGAATTATGTCTTGCAAAAGATTACAATTCCAAAATTAATAAATATGTGTATATATTATTAAATATTCTAGAAAACAAGAAAAAACTACATGTACATTACCTTCTGAGTGTGATAGTAAAACTATTGAAATGTGTAAAGAAAATTTAAATAAAATTGCAACTCTCTAAAAAAACAACCCCACACTTAAATCTAGTGACCCTATAACTTAAGAAAGTAGACCCTTAAATGAAAATAAGAGTCATATTATAAAAACTCCTTTGAGTGATGTAGATAATCTATGGAATTTTCATAATAATCCTATAGTTTCAAGATAAAATCCAAATTCTAAAGTGAATTATTAAACATAATAACCTGATTGGAAATCTAGTTAAAAATCAATTTAACCAGCTCCTGCAAAAACAAAAGATCTTTTTGAAAAAAGAGAACTTAAAGTAGCTGATTCAAAACCAGCAGATAGAAATCCAATTTTAGATAATAATTAGGGAAAATAATATGGAAAGCATGAATCATATGGAAAGAGTGATCATTTAGAATGCAAGAAATTACTTTCAAATGGTTATGGTTAAGAATTGAAATATAAAGAGGATGTATACTATTTATATATATTTAGAAACATTTGGCTTAGAAACCAAATTCATTTCAATAATCTGAAAGAACCTTCAATTATTCAACTGTTAATTAAGGTGATTATAGAAAGAAACCATCAGAGTTTGAAAACAAAAATACATTTTTTACTAGAAAATGAATAGAATTATGTATAACTATTATAAATATTATTATATAATTCATTATTCATCTAAGAGACTAATTAACTTTTTTTATTATTGATCTATTAAATCGATTTTAAATATATCATTAAGAAGATCTTTGTAACACTTTAAAATTACGATTAAATCAGCATCAATAGCTTAAAGAGATGATGAAAGTGATTAAATTCTTACAAAATTTTCATTTTACAATTATAAACAATGCTCGATTTTATTTGAAATCTCTATATTTTAAGTATCTTATGTCTCTTTTAATTTATGCATGGTATTATTGATCTCGCTATATAGTTGGAAGCAATTACGTGATTTCTTTTGATTACTAATGTAAATGTGAAATCAAAGCCTTTTAACTTTCAGTAATTTCAATGTACTATTATTGTAAATTGTTAGCACTAAATGACAAAAACTTTTCATTAAGAGCCTTAATTGTCTTTTCTAATTTTTAATTGTTGGCAGTATATTGATCTTATATTTCTTTAGTCAATTTAACATAATTATCTTCATTAGTTCTTAATCTTTTTTCCAAAGCTGCAATTTTATTATTGTCAGACACTGTTTATTATGATGTATTTGGAAGAATGACTATTTAATAATAAGAATTTACCTGAATTTTATTTAGAATTTGATCTTCTACCCTAAGGACTTTTCATTTTATCTTATGCACTCATAACACTAACATTATCATTTTATTGTAATGAAATTTAACTTTAATTACGTAATAATCCACTAGTGTCATTATTTGAGTCATCTTTTTTTTAATTAGTTTAATTTCCATTAGGACTATATGGACTAGATTAAAGATATTGTAATTTCTATAAATGTGTATTAAGTTCTGTTAAATTGTCTCTATTTTCAAGTCTCTCTTAGAATTCTGTTAATTTAGCTTCAATTGATATGATGATTTGCTTAAAGACAAGACCACTAACATTATCATCATCTTTAAGAGAATTGGCCAATTCAACAATTTCAATTAAACAATTCTATTTAACTTTAGGTTCTATTGGAATAGGTTAGATTATAAGTTATTTAGAAGCATCAAATCCATTTGATTCATTAGTAATTTCTTTTTTTGAATTGGATGATTGATTTGTTTGATTATCTTTTGGTTTTGGAATAGACTTTCCTGGTTTTCTTGCTGATTGAATTTATGATTTCATTTTATTTTTATTGGAATAAAATAATAAAATAATAAAATATTAAAAATATTATACAATCTAATTATTAAATAAAAACATATTATAGATAATAAGTTAATTCAAAAATAATCTTCTGTTGTTTCATCAACTTCTTTTATATAAAGTCCCCCAAATATATCTTTGTCAAAGTTTGAAGGTTTTTTAAGAATTCCTTATTAATCTTATTGTGGAGTATATTTAGATTAAATCATAAAACCATCATATGGCATAACATCAATGCTTTTATCTAAATGTGCACCCAATTAAGTAAGAAATTTATTATTATTATTAGTTAATTACTATTCTTCCTTCAATACAATACTATTTTATATTTTATTTATATTATCCTATTAGTCTTCATTACATAATTTATCTAAATAAATATAATTTAATACTTTAAGAACCACTAAATTACTATCCACAACTTCTATCTAGTAATTCTTATTTTGATCCTAATCTACTCATTAGTGCTGTGCTACTAGTAATTGAATTCATCAATTATATAAGACCACATTATTCACCATGCTTTTAAATGATATGTATATCATTAAAACTTTTAACAAGATCCTCTATCAAAATTTCATCAACTCTATCGTTATTTTAACTATTTTATAATTTTTAAATAACATTCCCCCATATTTAATCATCTAACTTTAGACTAGAGTGTAATGATCTACATCTACAACAATTATCCTAAACAAAATTTAATTTATTTAAAAAAGCCATCACATCTTATATAGTACTGATTTAAAAAAATGGATGTTATAAAGCAGCATCTACAGTGATTCTCTCACTTTTATTAGGATTTAACATTGCCATTATCAAATTACTTAATGGTTATTCAAGTGTATTTAATGATTCTTAAAATCTCCATTCATTTTGATTATCCAACAATTTTATAAAATCTGATAATTCATTTGAATGCAATGGCAATTTTTGGAAAATACACTAATAAGTAATCACACCTATTGCCCAAATATCAACTTCCTTTGAATAACTAACACTATGATATATCTCTGGTGCACAATAAAAGATATTACCCGTTTTTGTTGCCATTTCAATTTCTTATCCTTTCGATAAGAACCTTCTTGAAACTCCAAAATCAACAATTTTTACATGAGGAGGCTAACTATCCTCTTCTAAATTAACTAGAATATTATCTGGCTTTAAATCTCTATGACAAATTCCTTTAGAATGAGCATGCTAAATTCCTAAGAGAAGTTGTTTTATCACAATCTTTAACTCATCGAGAGTAAGAGGTCTATTCTTAATTATACTTTCTAAACTTGGGAACTTACAGTATTCCATTACTAGATATGAGGTTTCCATCTTCTCATTAATATAAAGTTCTATGTCTTGAGCAATGTTTTGATGTCTAAGACATCTTGTATTATTGAATGTTCGTTTAACATTATTCTAAATCTCCTAATCTCCTGATCTAACTATTTTTACAGCATAAATCTCTTCTGTATTTTTCTTCTTTGCTATCTTAACTACTGCATGTGCTCCTTGTCCTTTAAAATATACAAAAATTTTATACCTAAAGTTTAAAGACATTAGTAATAGTCTTCAAATCTTTTGCATACTTCTGGTTCATCCATTTAAAGAATAGGAGCATCATCACTAAATTGAATCTAAGTTTTTAATCTATTCGTCATTTATATAATTAACATTAGTTTTAAGTTAAGTGAAAAATAATGCCATCATTGTAGACTATGTTATAACCTGTAAATCAATTAAATAAGATGCCAACTCAACATATATATAGTTAATCTAATTACTGTTTATAATCTTGTAACCAATAAAACAGTGGATATATTAATTCATCTAAAACCTAAGATTAAGAATATTCACTTACTCTTCAAACTAATAAATATTTAACTTAATGAAAATGATCAAGCAAATAAAATAACGCATATTAGACTTAAAATTATCTTCTATTTTAAATCTCTAAAGATTTTGAATTATGCGATTGTTAAGTTTAGATAATAGTCAATAATAAAATATCAATTTCACAAAAAGTAACTACAAATAGAGTAAATTAAGCTCTCTAAAACTAGAAAGCTTTATTACTCTGAATTGAAAATATAATCATTAAAAAATAATGAATTCTTAAATATATTTAAGAGTCATATAAATAAAGTCTATTTTAAGAAAATTATAATAATGCTCAAGAATAGCCAAAATTATTCTAAACTTAAATTGATTATTAATTATAGATTCTATTCTTAGAAATTGATTCTGCTATTAGATTAAATTTAGAAACCTAAGAAATAAAGAAACAATATTCCAAAAGATTGGATCTAATATTAAACAGTTTAGATATAAATTAAAAAGATAATAATACTCAATTAAACATATAATTCTATAAAAGAAATTAAATAATACTAAAAATTTATGAAATTCTAGTTTGAATACCTTATATCAAAATACTAATGTAAAGAATATTAATAAAAGAAAACAAATGATATAATAAAGCCTTAATAAACTCTATCTGTCAAATAAAATAGATTCTACGTTACATTTTATTTCATTTTCTTTTTTTTTATTAATCATATTTTATACTCTAATAGTATGATAATAATTAACTTCAAATTTAAGTGGTTTATTAATCATTACCCCAATTTTTTAAGCTATGATTAGGTTATGTTAAATATTAAAGATCAAATTCACTTACTTTTTTGAATATACCATTCTTACCTATTAATATTTATATATTATACCTTGATGAATATTCATCATTCCTTTAAAAAGGTTTGTATAAGCTCCAACCAATACGCATACATCTCCTGGAGATATGGCTGATTCATCCATATCATGTAAATTCAAGAATGCACTACCAGTCTCATCTGCAATCCAATATTTTGTGATTTTCTTATAAGTTTTAGTTATTTATGTTTCAATTTTTTTAAGTATTATGAATCTAATAAAGTGTGTTATTTTACATACTTGAATTCTAAGTTCTTTTAAGTTGGATACATATTTTTGATTTGATTTTCGAATTTTTGCTTAAAGAGAATGGAATTTAGTTATTCAAACATCTATTAATTCATCATTTAATTAATTATGATATATATTATTTTAGGAATACTCGCTCTAATCTATTTAATCACTCAGCCACTCTTAGTGGTTATCTATTTCAAAATTAAGTATGGCAAAAGAGTGATTATTCAATATGCACCTATGTTAGGACTTCTTCGTACTCTAAGTCAATCAAGATCAATCAATGGAGATGCATTTGAATCATTGTCCATATTGATAAAAAATAATAGATAAGCTGACATATTAGTTACTAATTTATTATTTCGACCTATGATTGTATTCCTAAAACCAAATTACTATCGAATATTCATGCAATAATATTAAGATTATAGTAAATTCCATATGATAGTTGACAAAAGATTGATATCAAAAGGCATGCTGATGGAAGAAGGAGCAAAGTGGAAGTAATAAAGAAATCTTTTAGGTGCTCATTTTGAATATAATAAGCTAATTAACCTTATACCAATGATAAATGATGTAGCCTAAAAGAAATTAGCTAATTTACCAAATGAAATATTCCCAGCTATGAATATAGCATCTTCAATAACAGGTGAAGTTGTACTCAAGGCCTTTTTTGGTGAGGATATTGCTAAATTAAGTCTTAATGGACAAGATCCTTCATTATGTGTCACATAATTAATCACTCGATTTGGATAATTAATTACAGAGTCTAGATTCTTTCAAATAAAGAGAGCATTACTTGAAGAAAAAGTATTCAGTGTATTTCCAAGAAAAATAGAAAAAGATTTATATGAATTAAATACTATTATGCTTGATCATATGAAAAAGGCAATAAAAAGTAGAATGGAAAAATTAAAAAATTGTAAGAATATTGAACATCAAGATTATCTAGATGTTTATTTAGATGTTTACTTAAATAAAAATGATTCTATGAATCCTCCAATAACTGAAGATGAAATTCTATAATAATCTATAACACTTTACTTTGCAGGAACTGAAACTACTGCTAATTTAGTTACTACAGCTTGTTATTTCTTAGCTGAAAATCAACAACTTTAAGAAGAAGTTTATTAAGAAATACTTGGAGTATTAAATGGAGAATAAATAATCACTGCTAAACACTTATAAAATCTATAAAAAGTTACAGGATTTTTGATGGAATGTCTTAGATTAAAACCAGTTGCTCCTATGTTAATATCTAAACAAGCATAAAAGGATATATATATTAATGATATATTCATTAAAAAAGGTAGATATTTAATAATATTAATGTATAGGATGGTATGTTAATTATATGGTATTATCAAATGCATAAAATAATAAATACTTTTCTAATCCAACATAGATTGATATTACTAGATGGAAGTCTGATGGGACTCTAAATGATTCAACTATTGATCCATTTGCTTTTGTGCCATTTTCAGCTGGAGGTAGAAATTGTATTGGACAATATCTTGCCATAATTGAGAGCAAAATTGTCATCTCAAAAATACTGTTAAATTATAGATTAAAATTGAATGAGAAAATAAAAAGAGCAGAATGGATAGCTAAAATTACTTATGGTTTATCAAATCAAGATTACATAAAATGGGAGACAAGATGATATTTAATATTTTAATGTTTAGATTTTCATTATAAAAAATTTAAATGATCACACTTTGGCATACATTATGAATGTCTAACTTTAAGTTATTAAATTAATTTGATGAATTAATTATATTTTGGTGATTCTCCTCCTTCTTAATTTTCAAATAAATTAGGTGGATATTATAATCCAACATATTGACATGCTTTAAGAAATTGTACTTATTCTTAAGGTAACATTAATTTTTAATAAAGACATTTGCTATCTTGATTTGGTATTGAATTTTTTGAAATTTACAAGTCTAACCTTTTACTAAAACTTTCAAAACTTCTTTCAATTCTTGGTAAAGAAGTAGATCTTATTTTTTAATTAGAAAACACAATGCTTCTATTATTTTTATCTTAACTTATGCTAAATCTTTTATTCCTTTCTTCAATTGTTGGAATTTGTATGAATTTCTTAATTAAACTATTTACTTATTTTCTACTTTTTAATTTCAATATTTCACTTCCTTATGCCTCAATCAAACTTATTTTATGATCTAATTCTGATTTTTAAGCTTTCATTATTATTTTAGCTTCTTAATACTTGATTATCTCCTCTTTCAATCTTCTCTCATAATTTGCACTTGTTGTGTCAATTAATTGTTTAAGCTCTTAATTTTGTTCTTATAAAAACATTATATCAAAGCTACTCATATTTGTTTAAACCTCTTGATGTACCTTCTTTTTTTGTATCAATAGCTTTTTTAACATTCCTTAATTATTTTTAATTGCATCTCTCATTTTTTCAGTTTCTTCTTATACAACTTACATTCCTTAGGGAACCTCCTTTGGACTTGGATGCGAATCAATAATGTTTTTACTATTAATCGAGAGTTTATGAATAAAATCACCAATTGATGACATTTCAATACTTGCTCTACTTTAATTGACCTTAGCCACCTTATGTTTCTCTTTTATGCTCTATTATATTAAACATTCAAAAGGGACACTCCTGGGATGTGGAGATAAATGTAGTTAGAATTATTGAATCCATAATAACAAATTATTCAATATAACCAAATGATATCCAGAAAGAGTCTTTCATCATAATATTGTAATATTACTTTTATCACTTCTCCCAAATAAGCTAAATCATACTCTCCCAAGCTCAAAATTAACTACGCTTCACACACTGTCACAATATTACAATATTATCTAAGGTCTTCAATGTAGCCCTGTTAAATTTCTTATTGTCGATCGTTGAATTACACTTAAGCCTTTTACAAAACTTGCCTTATCTTCACTGTGAGTTTCTCCAAACTTAATAGCAGCTATTGAAAATTACTCTGGATATTATATGGAATTCATTTGCTTTGTTATAATAAAAAATGAATTATAATCTTAAAATCATTTATGATTTGTTATACAATTAATAATTAAATATGTATCTTAAAATCTACATATATTTCTATTCATTCATTATATAAAAAATAGAAAAGTCTTTTATTCTAAACCATTCCTTTCCTTAAATATTTATATTTATTATTTAAAAACATGAGCTATGGATGGCTGACAGAAAGTTCCTTGATTCCAGAACCTGCAGTTCCTATCAATGTAGATAACTCATCTGTAATTATATAATATATCCAAACACAGATAGTTGCTATGAAAATAGCATTGATGAAGGATAAATAAAATGAATAAGGTGCTCTTTCCAAGGCAAAAGTAGTTAAAAAATAAGAAAAAAGAATCAACAAAGGAATTGAAGAAAGAATTAAGAGGGATATGAAAGATAATGCTGCTGAAACTGATTAAAATCGTTTAGAAAAACTTAATGCTATTTTAACAAAGAAGGCTGAAATTTATGAAAGATAAAAATAAACAGGGATAGTAACTAAGAATTCATTGATAGACTTCAATTTAAAATAGTTAAATGATATGAGTGAAAAAGATTAAGAGTATTAAATACTTTATTATTTGTTAGATAATATGAAATGGAAAGACAAGAATTCATAAAGAAAAAGAAGGAGGAAATTCATTAAGCATAAAGAAATCTAATAAATCAAAGACCTGAAATTGCAAATCCCTAATTAGGATTTTAGTAAAATTAATAAGAACTTGAAAGAATTTAATGGGAATAACAAATGATGAAAGATATAGAAAACAATATTAAAGATTCAAATTAAATTCTATTCGAAAAAGGACCAATTGAACAATCTTATGATAAAAGATTATCATAAGCAGAAAAAGAGTAAAAAATAATTATTTTATTAATAGTAAACTTCCAAATGTTATAAGTGAAGAATAAGAAGCTAAAGAAAAGATATCAGAAATAGCAAGAAAAAGAAAAGAATTTTAAGAAATTAGAATGGAAAAACTAAAAAAGTTAATTAAAAAGTGATTATTTATAGTCAAACTTAAATTATTCGTATTCATTAATTCATTTTTTTTAAATACAGAGAAAATTAGTTTAACTAGTAATCCTTTTTAAATTTTCTAAAATAGTACTATAAATAATTATCAAAATCAGAATATCTGAAATATAATATTATTAAATATATATTATTACTCTACTCCTTTTGTTTTAAAGTAGTTCTTAGGGTTCTTTTTATAGATTTAATTGTATACTACATTTCAAACTAAATCATAGTAGTGATATCACTAATTTAGACTTTATTGTTATAAATAATTATCATAAATTTTTATGAATTTATAGATATAATCAGAGAAATGTCTGTTTTCTAACAAAAACAGACATTAATTTGGTCCAACACCTTAAGCTGTTAAAATAAATAACAAAAGATTAAAAAGAGAAAGTAAGAGTGTTATGGAAGTCTCTTTTAAAAAGAATGATTAAGTGATAATAGTTGAAAATTGGAAAAAATACAATGAAGACGTGAGTAATCTTGAGCAACCTTAACCTCCCACAAAAAAGTTTAAAGAAACTAGCTGTGCTGGTTGTTATATATTCTGAAGAAATGAAATATATTTATATAAATTTGGACTGTATTTTGAATATTTTCCAAATGTGATTTTATTGATACATCTATTAAAACCAGATTAAAAAACTAATATTTTGATTTACATTAAGTTAACTTACCAATTTGACTTATCGAATAATTAACAATATTTGTATATTAAAGTGAATTAACGATTTCTGTTTTATTTAAGATGAATTTCTTTTACAAAAGAAGCTCAAAATAATTTAGACTTTAAATTTAATGAAAAATGAATATAATAAACTTTAGAAGTAATTATTTATAAAAGATTAGAGCAAAATATCATTATTTTTAAAATTTATATGAATATGCTCCAGGAATAAAATTTATCTGACTCTGATTCATATCCTTAAAAGAAAAGAGGTAGAAGTACAAATGATCGTCAAAGTAAACTTAAATAGATTATAATAAGTGACAAGTTAAGAGAAACTTGAGTCTTAAAAATAATATTAGTTGTTTTAACTATTTTATGAAAGTTGCCAGAACATTTCAATAGACTTTTTATATCTTAAAGAATATTTTAATGTTGGTTTAAATGATTGTCCCCATGATGTTGAAATTTTAAAAATTCAAAAGAAACTAAACAATCGACGTTTCTCCTCAAACCCAAAAAAAAGTTGGAGCTTTGATGAAAAAAAAGTATTAGTTTGGGTGATTGGTAAGTATTGTTCCTTGAAATAAAAAAATTGCAGATTTTTAAATAGTGACGATTTTAATGAAATTGCGTAATATTTATTTAGAAGGAATGCTGAGAACATCAAATAAAAATGGACTTCTATGCACAAGACATCATTAATTGCATAGCCTTTCACTTAGGAAGAAGATCAGTAATTATCAATATTATTTGAAAAATACAAAAATGATGAAAATAGATGGAAAAAAATTGCTTAAGAAATGAGCAAAGTGAATTAAATTTACAGAACAAGTAAATAATTAAGAGAAAGATGGATTAATTATTTAGATCCATCATTAATAAAAATTAAAGATCCTTGGACAGATAGAGAAGATTTAGAATTGATTTATTAAATTTAATAAAAAGGTAAGAAATGGACAGAAATAGCAAAATAATTAAAAAGAAATGAAAATTAAGTGAAGAATCGATTTAATGGATTATTAAAAAGAGATGAAGTAGATGATGATTTAAATAAATTAATTGATAAAATATTATGGAGAATTAGTAAATATCCAATAGATGAATTAAAAAATTAATATGAAAAATAACATTTTCATAATAATCATCATTAAAGTTTATTATTAGCAGTAGGAAATATTGAATCAATTACTAGAGAAGAGTCTTATGAATTGACTCCTTGTATGGTTAATCTTAAGACTAATTAAATATATTTTACTCCTAATTATATGTTATAAGAAATTCTATTATATTAATAATAGGATATGGGAGATGGATTTGAAAAAATCAAAAGAGAAATAGAGAAATTTGAACCATCTTAATTTAGAGTAGCCTCATTATCAATTATTAGTGAAGAATATCAACAACAACCATAACTTTAACATAATCATCAACATTTTATACACTCATTTTCTGAAATGCCAAACTTTGAATCCTCTAATTAGCCAGCATCTATTGAAATTAAAACATACATTAATCCATTTTATTCCTTAAAGAATTTATAATAAAAATACATTAGGTATCGGACAGATTTATAACTACCAAAGGTAATGAATTCTATACCTTGGAAATCATAACCCTAATTGTTATTTTGTTGAATTTCGTTTTCGTTTTATCAAAAATAAACTATTAAAAATTTATTTGTTTTATATATATGAGATCAATAGATATTATTTATTTTATATTGCTATTATTATTGTTATTTCAAATATTAATAGTAATAGAGTTTATAATAATTAAATAGTTGATATTAACTTTAATCAGTTAATTGGCAACTCTTATAATAGAATGTTGAGATACAATAGTTTATAAAAAATGATATAATTATAATATTAAAATTGATAATCTATTTATAATTGAAGTTTTTATAAATTGATTATAAATATTTTTTAAAATTATGAATCACTAATGATAATAAGTGAATAAAATATAAATTTAATTTTTTTCTATAGAATGTAACAAATTTTTGGAAATTCTGTTTCACATAACAATTAAATAGCTTTATAAGATTATTTTGCTTATTCAGCAGGCTAAAATGTTGTGTATTATTCAATAGAAAATAATGAATAATTAAACTTTTTTATTGGATAAGCTTAAGTTAATTCCATACTTATTTCCAGAGATGGTAATCTAATATTTACAGGAGAATAAAGTTTTAAAAGTCCAGCAATTAATATTTATAAAATAACTACAGATAAAATCCTTTAACCTGTTCATAAATTAATTGGTCATAAATTTGGAATAAAGTAATTATTAGAATCTCCTATACAACCATTTTTATTTTCACTTGGAACAGAATAAGATAAAACATTATTTTTATGGGATTTATAAACAAATAAAAGTTTGGCTATCAATAAGCTACACAATAAAGTGAATTCAATAAGATTTTCAAAAACAGGTACTATCTTAATTAGTACAGGTTAATCTCATTTACAATATTGGTAATTTCGTTAAGATGGAACTCCAATATTTGAAGGATTAACTTTATAATCAAAAAGTTTTTAATTATTTGATTAATTTGTATAAAAAAATTACATAGATTGTTTTATTGATGATAATGTTTATGCATTCACATCAGATGCTATATTATGTATTTTTTCATTGGTTACAAAATAATTAATGTCATTTATGCAATTAGATTTAATTTAATTATTAACTTACACTTTTAATGGAACATACTTTTTTTTTGGAAGTACTAATTCTAAAATTTAAATATGTGATACTGAATTGTAACATGTTTCTTTTCTCAATTATAAAAATTAAATTACAAATGAATATGATTGCATAGGAATTTAAGCAAATGATATTTATTTGATCTCTGTATATCGAAATAAAAATATTGCAATTTGGAACATAACTTCAATAAATAAGATTGAATAAATAAGAGTACTTTATAGTCATACTAATTTAATTAATGATTTAATTGTTCTTAAACCTTAATCAATATAAGAAGTATCATTCTTTGCTTCAATTAGTGAATAAAATTTGACTATTTGGCATACTAATTCTAATTTGAATTAAATTAAGAAATTTAATATGCATAATAATGTAACTTATTTAGAATAATTTAAATCTGATTTTCAATATAATGAATTAAGGTGTCTTTCTCAATCAAGTGATGGATAATATTTAGCTATTGGAGACACTTATGGATTATTGAAAATTTTTTCATTTTTAAATTTTAAATAATTGGCTTCTGTGTAAGCTCATACTTTGAAAATAACTGTAATTTAATACTGGGCTTTCAATAATTGTTTTATGACAGGATCAGAGGATAAAACTATAGCAATATATGAGAAATCAAATTTTAAAAATTATAAACTTCTTTCACATCATTCTGATTCAATTCTTAATATTTTTACTTATTAAAATAAGATCATTACATATTCAAAAGATAAATATCTAATATTTTTAGAATATTCATAATAAAATTATAATGTTTACCATAAATCTAAATTAAATAGAATAAATTCAATTGATTAAGATTAAAATCTATTATTTATTATATAGGATGGAGTTATATCAGTTATTGATATTTTATAAAATAATTAAAAACTAATTTTAAATATTTAAGATTGTTTAAAATTAAGAGTTTCTCATCAAGATAATTATAGTATTTTGGCCACTGCAACCTTTAATAAGATTACAATTTATAAATATATGAATTAAAATGATTATAAAAAATTAGAAGAATTAAATATTGATAATATAGTCATGATTGAATTTGCTAATAATAATACACATTTAATTGTTATGTCAAGAGAAGTGAATACAATATTATTATGGAAACTTAATTCTATAAAATCTATATAATAATAAAAAAAACCTATTTCATAAGATAGTTGGATAATTAATCATTTTTGGGAAAATAATATAAAAAATTAAGAATAATCATAATAATAAATTGAAGTGGATGAGATTATAAAATTTGATTCAGAGAGTGATGAAGAATTAAATGAATAAATTAAAATAGTATCTGAAACACCAAGATTAGATTTATTGGCTTTAACATTAGGAGTTTAACATGCAAGTGAAATAAAAAAATAATTAAATCAAGTTACTTAATAAATTTAAGAGTAAATTTAAATAAATAAAATTGATATAAAATAAGAAGAATAAGATTTATTACATAATCCATTTTATGAAGAATAAAAAAGTATGTAAGAATTTTAAAAGAAACAAAATTCTAAAATTATGAAAAGATAATTAATGAAAAAAACATCTAATTTTGAATTAAAATAAGATTAAATTAAGGATTAATAAAAAATTGAATAAAATTATGCTATTATTAATAGTATTGCATTACCTAATTAAAGTTATTTAGGATAGAAAAATTAAAATTAAATTGTATAATATGAAAAAATGCCTATTTTAGAAATGGATATAAAAAGATTTGAAAGCAGTTATGTTATGAAAAATATTTAATAGAGTATTCGTAATTAATCTAAATTCTAAAATTCTTTTTAGCCTGAAAATTCTATCATGTTAAATTGCTCGTACAATTTTACTGAAAGAAAACAGGATACTTAGAATTATGATGACGAAAATCTACTATATGTATTTGATATCAAAGATAAAATAGTAAAATCAATAGATTAATATAGCCAAATGTCATTTGAGATTGATGATGATTTCATTAAGTGAACTTATTGAAGGTCTCAATTAAATACAATAGCCATTAAAAGATAAAGTATTAGGAGAAGTTGATAAAGATTTGGAAGCTATTTGTTAAGATGTATAGGATATTAGATAAGTAGATTGTGAATCAATAGAAGAAAATTAGGAAGATTAATAAGAATATATATGTAATATTAAAATATAAGTTTAATAGAAAAGGTAGTGAGTTAATGTAGTGAAGAATTATTTGAAAATTATGTTAAGAATTTATTTGGTTAAATGTATAATTAATAATGAACTATAATATAATTGTATTATTTATTTTATAATAGATAATAATAATATTATCTTCTTTAGAACAATTACTTATTCAATTATTATTTATTTATTCTAAAAATTTAAAAGAATTCTTGATTATCTTATATCTATAAAAATTGTAATCATTTTTCTCTTTTTGTTTCATCCATTTTGAGTATTGATTTTATATTGAAATTGTTTGCAATAAATAATTATATAAAATTATCTAATAGAATTGAATTATCTTAAATTAAATATATTTTTTTTAATTTAGGATAGTATTCAATATTTATCGATAAGATATAAAAATTTCATAGCAAATAATCTAATAGATATAAAGTTTTATTTACTTTAAAAATGATTACTTGGGTCTTTCTAAATGATATTATATATGAAGAAAAGGATATCTTATCTTATTATTTTAATTTTTTAAATTAAATTATCTTTACAATTATCTAGATTGACAGCAGACCCCAAATCAAAATGAAATTCATTATATATAAGAATATAAACCAATTAAAATGAGATAAAAATACATGATTAAATTAGTAAAAATAAGCCTAATATATCTAAAACTTATTTTTTCAAGCCAATAATNGATTAATAAAAAATTGAATAAAATTATGCTATTATTAATAGTATTGCATTACCTAATTAAAGTTATTTAGGATAGAAAAATTAAAATTAAATTGTATAATATGAAAAAATGCCTATTTTAGAAATGGATATAAAAAGATTTGAAAGCAGTTATGTTATGAAAAATATTTAATAGAGTATTCGTAATTAATCTAAATTCTAAAATTCTTTTTAGCCTGAAAATTCTATCATGTTAAATTGCTCGTACAATTTTACTGAAAGAAAACAGGATACTTAGAATTATGATGACGAAAATCTACTATATGTATTTGATATCAAAGATAAAATAGTAAAATCAATAGATTAATATAGCCAAATGTCATTTGAGATTGATGATGATTTCATTAAGTGAACTTATTGAAGGTCTCAATTAAATACAATAGCCATTAAAAGATAAAGTATTAGGAGAAGTTGATAAAGATTTGGAAGCTATTTGTTAAGATGTATAGGATATTAGATAAGTAGATTGTGAATCAATAGAAGAAAATTAGGAAGATTAATAAGAATATATATGTAATATTAAAATATAAGTTTAATAGAAAAGGTAGTGAGTTAATGTAGTGAAGAATTATTTGAAAATTATGTTAAGAATTTATTTGGTTAAATGTATAATTAATAATGAACTATAATATAATTGTATTATTTATTTTATAATAGATAATAATAATATTATCTTCTTTAGAACAATTACTTATTCAATTATTATTTATTTATTCTAAAAATTTAAAAGAATTCTTGATTATCTTATATCTATAAAAATTGTAATCATTTTTCTCTTTTTGTTTCATCCATTTTGAGTATTGATTTTATATTGAAATTGTTTGCAATAAATAATTATATAAAATTATCTAATAGAATTGAATTATCTTAAATTAAATATATTTTTTTTAATTTAGGATAGTATTCAATATTTATCGATAAGATATAAAAATTTCATAGCAAATAATCTAATAGATATAAAGTTTTATTTACTTTAAAAATGATTACTTGGGTCTTTCTAAATGATATTATATATGAAGAAAAGGATATCTTATCTTATTATTTTAATTTTTTAAATTAAATTATCTTTACAATTATCTAGATTGACAGCAGACCCCAAATCAAAATGAAATTCATTATATATAAGAATATAAACCAATTAAAATGAGATAAAAATACATGATTAAATTAGTAAAAATAAGCCTAATATATCTAAAACTTATTTTTTCAAGCCAATAATAACTTCACTTATCATAATAAAATTCTTATGTATATTAATTAATGTACTTATTTAAGAAAATAATTAATAAATTAGTTTATTTTTAATAGAAATGAAAAAGACACTATGAGTTTGTTGCAGGCTAAAGTTCATTCTCAATTAATTATTTTACATTGCTTATGTAAATTTTTAATAAGATTTTTGAAGCGAAATCCATTGTAAGATCTAAAAGTTTACAAGAGATATCTAAAATTTTATAAGACCTTTCATTTTTAATAGAAGAATTAACATATATATTAAATATATTAGAAGAAGTTCAGGATGAGATCAATTTTGCATATTTATTATAGCATTTAGATGATTTTTGGTTCAAGTGTTGCACAATAATTAGAAATTTACAGAATACAAGTTGGTATGGCATTCGATAAAATCAAAATGATTGCCTTAATAGTGGAGAGAAAAGATGCAAGTCATTATTTCCTTAATACGAAATCATCTCAAATATAAAATTTTTTTGGCCATAAATGAGCATGTATAAGTTTTTGGAATTTTTGAATGTTGATACAATAATAATGGAATATTTAATAATGAATATGGGTCTAACAGATGATATTTAATAATTGTAAACTTAAAATATTACTCTATCTAATTTATTAATAACTAAGTAGAATACAATAAAGGAAATTAAAATCAAGTAAATAAATGTATGCAGATCAGAAAAGTCTAATTAAAAATTTGAAAAAAGAATAGCACAAATTTTTATACTTTAGTTAGGAATACCTTATTTAAATAAGATTGTGGAAAAGAAGATTGGTTACCTAATAGTAGATATGCTTAACCAGTTTAACATACAAAATCAATGGCTTCTAAGATAAATGATGTTATATATGAAGAATATTTCATATCATATATGCAGAAAGTAGATTCTCAATAGAATTTTACTCTATACAATACATACGAGTCATCTGAGATTTTTGACTATAGTAAGAATTATAAATTTAGAGTACATTTAGAATATAGTCTATATTGGAGTGCATAAATAAGGATTAGAGGAACTTGGAAATAAGAATAATGAAGCTAAAGAATTATTAAAAAATATATTTGTGATAATTAACTCATGATTTTAAAAATTAGATAACTCTTTTCTACAATAACAGAGCCAGCAACAGGAGGTAGATAATGGTTGAAGTTCTTTCAAAATTCTACTGGGATATAAATAAATATTGAAAGGAGTTTGAAAAATGAAGCTGTATTAATTTTTAATATCATAGACTGAAAATCTGAATTACTATGTTCGTTAAAATTACAAGACTTTTAATTAAGAATAGTTGTTTTAAGCATATATTAAAAAGGATTTGCAGTTTGAAATTTAAAAATAAGTTTAAATGGAAGTATTAGAACGATTTGTAGCAGATTAAATGAATTTTAGTGAAAATATGCTGATCACATATTTAAACAAAGAAGCTTAATTATTACCAGCATTTTATTCAGTAATAGCATAAAACTTACTTTTAAATGGTCTTAAAATATTTGATTAGCTTAATATCTATTAATAGATAGAATATATGAGATTATGTTAATAAGCTGGGTTTTTACATCCAGATATCTTTTAGAAATTTATTCAAAATTTAAAGATAGATGATTAATTCATAGAATCATTATCATTACTTTAATTTAGAAACATAATTACATTATTTGATTATTGTGCTACATCACCTTATGATTTAGGATTATAACCAGGATTTATAGATTATTTGTGTAATAAATACATACAAAAATTAAGTAATTTTGAATTAGTAGCATCTGAAATTACTAAATATGAGTTTTCTCAATTAATGATAAATCATCATTTTAGTTTTTTGAGTGAAGAATAATATTCAGAAATTAAGATAGCTTATGCAAAAATGTATATAATATATTATATATTTAATAAGATTGGAGAGAATGTTTAATAAAAATTATAATTTTGTTGTTCATCGAAATTTGAATACTAAAGATGTAGCTAAGAAATTATTATGGATTTATAAACCAGATGATTTTAAATTAATCTAAAAATCTCTTAATCATTTAATTTCTAATACAATATAATAAGGAGAATTCAAAGCTGATCATATGATTTATGCATTACCATGTAAATAATAATCATATATATATTTATAGTATATTTTAAGTATTTCACTCCATAGTTGTATTATTTATTATTAAGATAATGTCATAAATAAAATTTAAACTTCAAAATATCAAAGTATGATTTAAAGCAGATTATGTATTTATTGAATAGTAATGCTCTTAAAGGATTTAGATCTATAATGGCAGATCACACTATACTTGATGATGTTGATAATTTTATTAAAAACACTCTCACTTCATATGTTAATAATATTAAAGATGAAGAATTATTAAATTTTGAGGAAATTTTTAATTAAAATATGGAATAAGAAGCAGAACTTGATTTTAATGATGCTGAATATGCAGAAATTCTACCATATTTTTAAAATAATAATAAAAATTAAGAAACATAAAATCATGTTAATTAAAGATAATTTATTGTAAATTTAACTTAGAAATTTAAATCTTTATAAAATACTTTATATAAAAATGGATTTTAAAGAATTTCAAATTAAAAAATAAATAAAAGAGTTTCAATTTTAGAACCTATTCTAAGTTATATTGAAGTTTTATATTATGTATCAATTTATAATCCAGAATTCTAACCATAAACTAAATTATTTAAAACTCCATAAATTCTTAAATTAGTAAATAATCTTATTTATTTACCAAATCTATTAGAAAATTTAATTTAAATTAATCAAATTTGGCCTAATTTATTTAATGAAGAATTAAAATCAATAATTATTGCAAATAAAACAAAATTAGATTAAGTATATAATTCTTGTTAAGATTGTTAAGAATTTATTGATAAAGTTGAAGGATAAATAAAATTAACAGAATAAGGTAAATCTAGAAAATTGTAATATAGAAACAAAAATTATTAAGGATTATTATAAGCATTCAATTTTGCTCGTCCAAAACCTCATAATAAATTATCTCCAATATTAAAAAATCCATTTGAAGAGTATACTATAGAAGAAACTTATTCAAATTAAGATTTTAATATGTATTGGAAATTAACATAGAGGAGTGAAAATGTAATTTAACATACTCATTTCAAAGAATTAATGTGGTAAGCATTGAAACTTGATAAAAATTAATGGATTATGAATTATAGTGATTTTCCACATATTGTTGATTTTGCTTGTACAAAATAGAAGGTTGTAGTCTTTTTAGATGAGTATCCTCGTTTAATTAGAGGATTACATAAAGTATATACTATTGAGACTGAAAGGGCAGCTGAGTATTTCTCTAGACTTGGATATCAAGTTGTGTTTATAGATTATAATGTATATCATCCAGATAACGAATAAATGTTGAACATTTTGAAATAAAAATTTGTATTTCGTTATAATTGAATTAAATAATATAATGAACGAAATTACTATCCCATGTTCTAATTGTAAATAACCAATTGCAGAATCTAAACATATGCTTCATGAAACATATTGTTTACGTAATAATATAAAATGTCTTAAATGTGGCGTATTTTATGATAAAAATGATCCAGAAAGTCATGAGGAGGAATACCATAAAAAAGAAAAATGTTAATATTGTTAATTGGAATCTGAAGGTCATTTATCTATATTATAAAAATAGATTTGAAAAAACATAAATGCTATAAGAAACCAAAATAATGTATGCATTGTGATCTTAGTTTCCCAGCTGATTAATTATTTTAACATGAAAATCAATGTGGAAGTAGAACAGAAAAATGTGATATATGCAATAGTTTTATAATAATGAGAGAATATTCAAGTCATATAAAGGATTGTAAACCTAAACCAAAAGTTGAATCTTCTTAAGTGTAGAAAAAACCATCCAATTCAGAAATTTATGATAGACCAAATTATGATATGTCTAAAATTGATGATAGAATTGATCAATAGAAATTTAATAGTAAAAAGGAAACACCTTAATAAAATCCTTCAAGTCAAATCTAATCCAAATAATCAGTCTAATAACAATAATAATAACAATAATAAACTAAACCTATAGGATCTGGATATAAATTTGGATAAGCAGCAGGAGAATAAAAATCAAAATATCAACTATCAGATGAAGAAAAATAGAGATAAAAAGATGGTATTAGACCTCCATCTTCTAATAATTAAACAGGTTCAAGACCTTAACAATAAAACATTACATCAGGAACATAGTCAAAATAATAATTATATAATTAAAAATAATAGAATTCATAAAAGAAAGATGAGACAACATAATTTGATAATTAATATGAAAAATAATAGTATATTAATAAATTATCCTAACAATCCCAACCATAACCATAATAATAGTAAAAGTAACCAACACAAGCATAGAAAAGTTTAGAGAGCTATAAAAATACTTAAAATGATAAATAATAATTTTAAAATTAAAATAATAATCCTATATTAAGAAGACCAGATACAGCTATAGCAAGAGAGATTTAGAGATAAATAGAGTTAGAAGAAGAATTTGGAATAAGTTCAGAAGAGTATTTACAATAATAAATGTTTAATTAAATGTCACTAAACGAAAAAAAAGAACAAGCTCAGCCAATCAAAAAAACAACAATGCCATAATCTGTAATACCAGCAAGAGTTCCATAAAAAGTTGATAAATAGGAATTCGATTTCGAAGATATTTCTGAGGAAGAAAAACTTGTATAATTATAAATAATGGAAAGTTTTAAGGATAATAAGAAAAAACGTTGAAACATACATAATATAAATGTAAAATTATATATATATAGATAATTTTTGTGTAGTTTAAATTATAAATCAATGAGTAATTCTTAAACTTAATTATATATATATTATAATAATTTTTTACTTTAAAAATTAATGATTTTAGAATCAAATAATTTAAGATGAATGAAAAAAATTTATTACTATAATTTATAACTAATTATATTTGATAAATATTAGAATTATATGCTAATCATATAATAATTAATTAAATTTTAATCTATTCTAAATGTATGCTTTTAGAAAACATGCTGCTTTAAACAAGAAAAAAATGAATGCAGAATCATTTTCATTTGTGATGCCTAGAATTAATATCAATTAAGTTAATGAAGACCCTACAGCATCTCTATTAGAACAAGATAAATTGCCGATTTCAAAGAATTAGTTTGCAAATTAATCCGTAAAGTTGGGATTAATATGAAGATCCTTAATCAATTAGAATAGAAAGCAGATGTGCAACGAGAGTAGCCATAGAAAAGTGTACAAGAATGGGGAATTTAATTGAGTAATCATCTTAAATTAATTGATGATAAAAGTAGCCATTGGATTAGAAATAAATATACAAAGAATGCAATTGAGATCATTAATAAATAGAAATTTTCTACAATAGATAATGAAAAGTCATAATTATCAAATAAATGGCTTCTGAGATTTTTGTAAAAATATATATTAATTAATAACAGTTCCAAAATTTCAGTTATAGAACCAACATCTAATTACCTTAATTTATGGAATATAATAATGTCTATTTGTTTATTAACATACTTTTATTTTCTAGTGATCAATCTATATTTTTCAAAAAATGAGGGTGATTAAGAATGGTATTGGGATTAATGGAAAAAAGGATATACAGGTTTATTGAATATACTCTACACTCTTTTGATGACATTAGATATATTAATAGAATTGCATGTATCTTATTTCGAAAGAGGAGAATATATAAAGAATAAAAAATAAGTGTACATAAATTATTTAAAAAATGGATTCTTATTTGATTTTATTCCACTTTTTGTGTTATATCTATGTCTAATATCAGATTAAGTGAATGAGTCAACAATTATAAGATATTTCTTTTTTTTAAAGTTCTATAAACTTTCAATTTATGATTAAAGATTTTAAGAAAGAGTTCAGTTGCATAGAAAATCAAAAACTATTTATTTAATATTTAAGTTAATAGTTGAAATTCTAATAATAGTATAATTGAATGCAGCTTTGTTTTATCGTGCAGGAATATACATGTATGATATGAAATAAGAAGATGAAGATAATTTTAATTGGGGTACATGGTTAGAAAATGATATGTTTAATGGTGAAATTTACAGTAAATCATTATAATCTCAATATTTCTTATCATTATATTGGTCTGTTGCAACATTAACAACTGTCTCATATGGTGATATTACTCCTGTTAATCCTTTAGAAATTTTGATAAGTACAATGGCTATGTTAACAGCAATATTTTTATTTGCTTTAAATGTATAAACTATTTAAGAAGTATATTTAGAATATAAGGCAAGTAAGAAAAAGTTTTAGAAGTATTTAATTTATATTATAATTAATAGACATTTAATAGCTATCAATAGATTCATGAGAGATAAATAGATATCAGTTTCATTATAAGCTAAAATAAGAAAGTATTTAGATCATATTTGGGATAAGTAGAGAGCAAGAGAATAAAAATTAGAATAAGTTATTATTAGTTCATTAGCTCCATCTTTAAGATAAGAATTGATGTTTGAATCTTATGGTATGGATCTAATTAAAATACCTTGGATGAGTGATAATTTTACATTTGAATTTATTAAGGAATTATCAGAAGAATTAAAAGAAGTATATTTTGCAGCTGATGAAACAATATTTTTAGATAAAGAATCAATTAATGATGATTACTCATTATATATTTTAAAAGAAGGATAAGTTGATTTATTTATTAATAATAGTAATGTAGCTTAACCTTTAATTGCTCATTTAAAGAGTGGGGCAGTTTTTGGATAATACTCTTTTATTACAGGAGATGGTAGACAATGTTCTGCAAAAACTAAAACTTAAACAACTTTATATTAAATTAATAGGACAACATTTCTTAATACTTTATTGAAATTTGAAGCAGATTATGAAAGATATTGTTAATTAAAAGATTTAGTAATGCTTGGTAAAAGATATGATTTATTGGTATTTATTTAAATATATTATTAAATTAGTAATTAAGTTGCTTTACATGTAATTTAACAGATCATATGAGTAATTGTTGTCCATTAACTCATTTCACTTTTGAATCTTAAAAAAATATTATGGGATCATAAATTGTCAAAAATGAATATAAATAATAATAAAGAAAAAAAATTAAAAGGAGAAAAATAAAATAAAAAAATATTATTGTAAATGCAGATGAATTTGAAATTGATGAAGTATAATTAAGTGAACTTAAATAATAATATGTTGAAAAATCTAATGATAGTTATGATATAGATAAAGTAAATAGTTTTAAATATTACTTTCCATGCTAAAATATTGATTCCTTCTATTTTAATTAATTGAGGTATGATTTACTAATTAAAATAGAAATATTTCATTTAACCAAAAGAAGTATTTTACACCTCCACTTAGACATTAGATTGTACCAAAATGACAAAAATTATATTAATAATATTAATTAATAAATATAAATGGGTAATGGATAATGTTGCAAAAGGGTGGAACGAGTTGAAACTTTAGAAGTAGATAACAGTCCTCCTTAAAATACTAAACATGCTTCACCTTTTGATGAGCCACAATAAATGGTTTCACTTTCTGATTCAGATGAAGAATATTAACCTAAAAAACAGCATCAGTTTGGAGTTTTTAAAGAAAGACAAAAATCTTCTTAGTTGTCAACTGGTTAACAATATTCTTTTTAAACTTTACCATCTGAATAATAATTCTCTAATTTTATTACTTTTCAAGCTATTCCATCTCAATAAGGAATTCATAATAATGTATTCTCTAAATTTCAAAAAGAGATGAATGAGTTTGCTAGTAAATAAACCAAAAATTAAAAGAACTTGTAAAAATAATGAATGAATTGTATTTTTGTTATACTTATATATCAACTTTAAACAAAATTATTCAACTTTATTTTTAAGAATTTTCCAAACTAAATTCTTAGACAACCATGATTCTAACAATAATTGTTTTGTTTGATTTATAGAAAATAATAACAAATTTTTTATATAATATCTTAATGCTCTCATTTTTTCTACTGAATTAAATTACTTCAAAATATATTCTTAGATGTTTAACTTTAAGGATTACTTCCAAATTTGATAAGTTTCCATATTATAATTTATTTGTTACAAAGTTAATTCCTTTTATTCAAGTCTATATTTAAGTGAAAAACACTCTTCATTTTTATTTAACAATTATAATTCAAATTTATATCTTTTTAATTTGGAGATATAAATCTAATTTATTTGTAAAATATTTCTTTATAAGTTTTGATAGCAACTTTAATCAAATATAAAAAAACTTTGATTAAATAGAAAATAGGACGGTTAATAAAATTAAATTTACATCCTAGCCGATACATATGGCTATTAAAAAGAGTCTCACATAAAGTGTTAAATCTTAATAAAACTTGATTATATATTCTGATAATGTTGAGATTTTCGATTTAATTTACTTGCTTAACTGATTTATTAGAACACGTATTATTTTATTTATATTTGAAATAATTATATTTGTAAAATACTTTAACTTAATATATATTGATTAAATATATAAAAATTGAATGAAACATATATATATTTATAAATATACGATTTTATACATTTTTTGATTTAATATATTTATCATTAACTTTAAAATCAAATTTTAGTAATAAAAATCATTCTCTCTCTTTTTAGAGTGTATATGTTATTAGATTAATCATTTTATTTTATTTAACTATTTATTATATCATATGTAGCAATATGAATGTTAGATTGATTGAAAATATATTTCATTGAAATTAAACTTGTAGATAGCATTTCAAACTAAAATACAATAAACCTTTTAAATTAAATACGAAGATTTTTCATCTATAAATAAATTTATCAAATATGAACTCTAGCAGTTTATGATAATTAAATATAATTGATAACATTTTAATATATTTAAAGGATCATAAATAAGGCATTTGAAATAAAAGGAAATATATCATATATTTATTAATAGAACCAAAATTAACAATTAACTTTATTAGATTTAGTATTAATTTTAATCTACAATTAAAATTGTTATTATATTTGAAAAGTAGTATTTTTGTTATATATTAAAATAACCATTTGATAATTTTAATAAGTTATAATTTAAAAAGNGATATTGTTAATTAAAAGATTTAGTAATGCTTGGTAAAAGATATGATTTATTGGTATTTATTTAAATATATTATTAAATTAGTAATTAAGTTGCTTTACATGTAATTTAACAGATCATATGAGTAATTGTTGTCCATTAACTCATTTCACTTTTGAATCTTAAAAAAATATTATGGGATCATAAATTGTCAAAAATGAATATAAATAATAATAAAGAAAAAAAATTAAAAGGAGAAAAATAAAATAAAAAAATATTATTGTAAATGCAGATGAATTTGAAATTGATGAAGTATAATTAAGTGAACTTAAATAATAATATGTTGAAAAATCTAATGATAGTTATGATATAGATAAAGTAAATAGTTTTAAATATTACTTTCCATGCTAAAATATTGATTCCTTCTATTTTAATTAATTGAGGTATGATTTACTAATTAAAATAGAAATATTTCATTTAACCAAAAGAAGTATTTTACACCTCCACTTAGACATTAGATTGTACCAAAATGACAAAAATTATATTAATAATATTAATTAATAAATATAAATGGGTAATGGATAATGTTGCAAAAGGGTGGAACGAGTTGAAACTTTAGAAGTAGATAACAGTCCTCCTTAAAATACTAAACATGCTTCACCTTTTGATGAGCCACAATAAATGGTTTCACTTTCTGATTCAGATGAAGAATATTAACCTAAAAAACAGCATCAGTTTGGAGTTTTTAAAGAAAGACAAAAATCTTCTTAGTTGTCAACTGGTTAACAATATTCTTTTTAAACTTTACCATCTGAATAATAATTCTCTAATTTTATTACTTTTCAAGCTATTCCATCTCAATAAGGAATTCATAATAATGTATTCTCTAAATTTCAAAAAGAGATGAATGAGTTTGCTAGTAAATAAACCAAAAATTAAAAGAACTTGTAAAAATAATGAATGAATTGTATTTTTGTTATACTTATATATCAACTTTAAACAAAATTATTCAACTTTATTTTTAAGAATTTTCCAAACTAAATTCTTAGACAACCATGATTCTAACAATAATTGTTTTGTTTGATTTATAGAAAATAATAACAAATTTTTTATATAATATCTTAATGCTCTCATTTTTTCTACTGAATTAAATTACTTCAAAATATATTCTTAGATGTTTAACTTTAAGGATTACTTCCAAATTTGATAAGTTTCCATATTATAATTTATTTGTTACAAAGTTAATTCCTTTTATTCAAGTCTATATTTAAGTGAAAAACACTCTTCATTTTTATTTAACAATTATAATTCAAATTTATATCTTTTTAATTTGGAGATATAAATCTAATTTATTTGTAAAATATTTCTTTATAAGTTTTGATAGCAACTTTAATCAAATATAAAAAAACTTTGATTAAATAGAAAATAGGACGGTTAATAAAATTAAATTTACATCCTAGCCGATACATATGGCTATTAAAAAGAGTCTCACATAAAGTGTTAAATCTTAATAAAACTTGATTATATATTCTGATAATGTTGAGATTTTCGATTTAATTTACTTGCTTAACTGATTTATTAGAACACGTATTATTTTATTTATATTTGAAATAATTATATTTGTAAAATACTTTAACTTAATATATATTGATTAAATATATAAAAATTGAATGAAACATATATATATTTATAAATATACGATTTTATACATTTTTTGATTTAATATATTTATCATTAACTTTAAAATCAAATTTTAGTAATAAAAATCATTCTCTCTCTTTTTAGAGTGTATATGTTATTAGATTAATCATTTTATTTTATTTAACTATTTATTATATCATATGTAGCAATATGAATGTTAGATTGATTGAAAATATATTTCATTGAAATTAAACTTGTAGATAGCATTTCAAACTAAAATACAATAAACCTTTTAAATTAAATACGAAGATTTTTCATCTATAAATAAATTTATCAAATATGAACTCTAGCAGTTTATGATAATTAAATATAATTGATAACATTTTAATATATTTAAAGGATCATAAATAAGGCATTTGAAATAAAAGGAAATATATCATATATTTATTAATAGAACCAAAATTAACAATTAACTTTATTAGATTTAGTATTAATTTTAATCTACAATTAAAATTGTTATTATATTTGAAAAGTAGTATTTTTGTTATATATTAAAATAACCATTTGATAATTTTAATAAGTTATAATTTAAAAAGTACAAGATAATTAGACAAAAGAGGATTAAGATGGAAATAAAACTAAAAGTGTAACATTTTGTTTTGAAAAAAACATTATTCATTCTATTTTTAAATGTCCATCTGAATATTTGAGTAAAAAGAATAGGAAACAATTATGTCGAAAAATCTCAAGTTCTATTAAAGGTAAATGGTTCTATGATTAAACATCATCTGATGAAGAAACTGGAAATTATTCTGATCTTGAAGATTATCAACATTTCTATAGCATTATTGAATGGAAAAACCTATAAGAAGTATCCTAATCAAAAATGACTTCAAATAATTAGAATGAAGTTTAAAATTCAAAAAATACCAATGATTTTAAAAATGGAAATTTGTAAAATCCTAAATCATGTCTTAAATAGACCAAGAAATTAGATATACCTTCTTAATTTGATGAGTTTTAATAAAAAGATTAAATTGACGATTAATAGACTGAAGTATGTTCAGAAAAAAATTTAAATAATGATAATATTTAAAATGATAAATAAATAGAAGTAAGTAAATTTAAAGATCATAATGAAAGAGATGAAGAAGATGAAGTAAAATAATTACAATTATCATAGATATCTATAAATCTTGATGATTTATTTGATTTCTAAAGTAATTATAATGAATAGAAAATCCATGATCAATAAGATATTTCAATATATGATTAAGTAAAGAAAAAAATAGATTTCAAATCAGCATTCAAGATTATTGATATAGTAAAATTATATGAAAATATATGAAAATTTAATCTAATTAAATTCATTTTATTACCATTCTGATTAAAGTTATCTAAAGAGCAATTAAAATTTAATTCTAAGAAAATCAATTAAAGTAAACAAAAACTTTATGTTTATTTTTTTTAAACATTTTTATAGTTATAGACTTATTC